AGCAGCATCATCCAAAAAACACACACACACACACACACACGCCCATGTCGACCATGGGCGTCAGCCCAGCCTGGAGCATCTTCTGCCGCCTGTCAAAGCTGCTTCCAGACTTCAAGGGGTGAGGGCTCGAAACCGTTTTGGGGTTTGTATGTCCTCGCTTCAAAAGGGGTTACAATCGGAAGTCCATAGTGGTGTTTCTCCAAACAGTGGAGCACCAGCACTCCCCAACCACTGCTTCTTCTCAAGTCCAAAATTCTAAGCACTGCTCAAAAAGCAGCAGTTAAAGGGTGCTGGTTCGCCGCGCCCCTTTTTTTACAGACGCCCCTCCAACAAAAAGAGGCTCCGAACAGTCATAGGGTCTCGATTCAGCAAGCAGCGAGTTGCCTGAAAAACCTTCATGGGCAAGGCAGGCTGTATGACCCCTTCATGAGGTTGCTATTGGTCGTTGAACCTTGCGCTTCCTGGAATAACTCACATCCCAAGAGGGTGTATTGCGGTCTAGCAAGTTGCGTAAGAAGCACTTTAAGAACTCTTGTAAACTACAGCTGTCTCACTTCCTGATTGGATTGGCCAACAAAAACTCTGAACTTTCTATATACCGCCAAAATGGTCCAAACCCAAAAAGTCCATGAACTCAGGAAGTGAGATGTTCACAAGGATCCTGTCGGCAAAAGCCGAGGACCTCCAAATGGGGGAAAAATGGCATGCCTTGTTGTCTGAAAAAAAGGGGCGAACCCTTTTTGGGGAAGACCAGTTTTCACCACAAAAACGGGAAAAAGGACGCCACTGAACAACTGAGGTAAAGGAACCCACCGTCCTTCCTAAAAAAAGGAGGGCGTTCTCCCACCACAATGGAGCCCTCTGCACACTAAGCCCAGTGGTCATGGGGAAAAAGGGCGCCAGTTTTGTTGGCCGATTTCAAAGGGAAAGCCTTCCCCTCCCGAGAAAAGAAAAAAAACAACACGGCAACCAGACCCGCCAGTCAGGTTCCATGGCAAAGTGGTGACAGGGCAAGCATAGTTGCGGGAGGTGGGCAATTCTCGTGCGTCACTTGTGCGTTCTTTTTCTGGGAACTAGCCTGTTCCGTCCGACCTGGGCCAGCAAGTTTCCAAGCATCAGGCCACCCGTCCTTTTCCTCTTTAAAACCCAGTCCCACCAAAAAGACCCACTTGCAATTGACCATCAAAACGTGAGGGAACTCTGGCTATCCGGTTCGAGGCCTGGTCGGCGTTTGGCAGCAACACGCCCTCCACAGAGTACTTCCCCCGAAATGGCGTGCCCTTGGCCGGATCAATTCGACATGGACGCATCCGAGTCGTCCAAAAAGCCTCTTGGGTCGGCCCTCCCTTCTGGGCTTATGAGATGACCTTTTCAGAGCAGAACTGTCTTCCAACCTCCCGGCCAGGTTCCATGTTGGTGGGGGGTTGTTGGCTTTTTTTACTTTTCACCCTACATATGATTCAACGGACGGTTGATCCCAACTTAAATTAGTGGTAGCTATTGCCTCCTGTGCAAAGGGCTTGGTTTACAGTCGATTGCTGGGAAAACGTCCATGTTCCCAAAAGTTTAAGATCCAACCAGATCCAACCAACTAGTAGGCAAGAATCGATTGGCCTGCGCCACCCCCTTTCCCCCCGGAAGGCCCTGCGGCACTCCAATCGCCATATCTTTTAGTGGTTTATATAATGGAAAACCCATTTGGCAAAGAAAGTGAAAGTCCTAAGCTTGGTTGCTGTTGACCCCCTGCAAAAGTTTAACTTGTTGGGGGTTTAGTGGAAAACCCCTTGATTTCCCAAAAAGTCAAAGCCTAAAGATCCAACCCAATAGCACTCAGGCCACCACGTCATCTTTGCCCTTCGATGCCCAACGCCTGGGCGACCATCTGACATTATCAGCCCAAGGTGGCACCCCAGAGGTCATGCAGCCAAAGGAAAACTTGCGTCGTCTCGAAACTGAGCTAGCTCCCTCCAATGCATGCACCAACCAGCTCCCTCCAATGCATGCACCAACCAGCTCCCTCCAATGCATGCACCAACGCGCTGAAAAGGACTGCGCGTGAAAAGGCTGGACAACGCGAGAACGCGGGATGGCGTTCGGAAACGTGACCATTGGCACCGCCCATGGCGCGCGGTTTTGCAACCTGCCAAAAGTGAACCCTCGGCGGACTTTTGTGGGGTCCGACCCTCAAGACCTCGCAGTTTCTCTTTTTGCCCCTCCGCGGAAGAAAAGGGAAAGAGCACAACAAAAGAACGACTAAGACAAATAGAAACAATCAGACCATTTTTTCGGAGTGCTAAAACTGAGAAAGAGACACGGAAAGATAAGCAGACAAATAAAGATGGCAAGAAGGAGGAAAAGGACGAGAAAGAGGGAGGGAGAGAGAGAGAGAGGGGGGAAGGAGAAAAGAAAGCCATAGTCCTTATATTTTGCAACTTCCCCGGTGCACCCCGGCCCTGCCGGACTTTACTGGTAGACCGGCCCTATAACCTAAGCCTGCAACTCTCACTCCCCGCGCTAAAAATGGCCGGACATTAAAAGGGCCCTCCTCAAAAGGTCAGGGAGTAAGCGACTGCAACGGCTCGGGGCGAGGAGCGCCTTGTTTGGGAGTGGGCACGCCTATATATTTAAAGGGCCTAACTAGCAATGCTAGTCGGAGTTCAACGATGGCTTTCTCAGGGTTGGTAGAAGGGTGCATCCAACAAACACTTGCGTCACAAGGATTTGGAATGGATTTGGATCCTCCAAATCAGCCTGCGAGTAACCGTGAGTCCTTCTCTAAATGGACCCTGTTTATGAAAAGGGTCGGGCCCTGCAAACATGGAGACTTGTTCTATTTCCCCCCCCTATTGGTTTGACCCCCCTGTTTTACCTTTTGGCATTTGGACCAACACAAAGGTTCGAAGGTCGACAAAGACAAATCCCAACATGGAGCGAGCAAACCTTCTCATGGATCAGCGAATGAAGGGAAATCTTGGAACCCCCAGGCCCCAAAGGTGCCTCTTGGTTTCCTTTTGGTTTCCCTTCCAGGTCCTCTAGTAGAGAGGCTATAATAAGGGTACCCTTTTGCTGTAATCTATTTTAGTAGGGGAACCCTCCCCCAAAAAAGGGTGGAAAAAGGGCACTACTTGGGGACCTAGCCTTTAAACCCCACCAAAACGGTACCAACTCCACAGACAGACCCAGAATCACCAGAAAACTCCAAAGACTCCGATTCGCTGAGGCGGCGGCCGTGCGCCGGACTCCAGCCTCCGATGCAAAGGCCAACCTGCCGCCGGTAGCCAAGAACTTGGACCCTGGTGACCTGCTCCTCACTCTCCTAGCTCCTCCAGTAGAGGGAGGTTAGAATAAGTTGGCACCAACTTTTTTTTTCTGTTGTCTATTTCAGTAGGGAAGCCCTCCCCCAAAAAAGGGTAAAAGGCAAGAATTGGGGGGACCTAGTCTCCCACAGGAACTGGAAATAGGTGATCACCTTTTGGGACCTTGACTGAACCTTGGCTGCTGGAACGACCCCTCTGCAAGAAGTTTGCCTTTTTTGGGTCTAATGGAACCCCCTTGATTTCCCAAAAGTTAAAGTCTCAAGATCCCACCCAACAGCAATCAACATTTCGGCAATCAAGATTTGGGGCACGCCTCACTTCCAGAGCGAGTTGGCCAACTTTGTGCGTGCCACTAAAAATGGTCTTCCCAAACAGTGACAGTTCAAGTCCAAGAACTCAGGGAGTGAGTCTGCCCTTTGCATTGGCGTTCAAATGATTAGCTGCTGGAACTTCAGCTGAGCAATGATCATTGCTCGATTAGTATGATCACCAGGTCATCAGGGTTACTCACCAAAAAGCAAGGACATAGGCAGTACACAAGCCTTACAACTCTAGCTGGCAGCGGCCTCGTCAAGACTGGCACAACCAACAGGACAGCCAAGTTCAGGAGATGACGATCTATGCCTATGCTGGGCCACAAAAAATGCCACATCCTGAATGCCCAAGTTGTCAAAAAATGAGCGCGTGCCTTGAATAAAGAAGCAAACATTTCTAGAAGCCTTTCTCGTACTGTGGATGGACGAAATCCTGCACCACTTAAGAAACCCTGGAATGATGATTCCCGTGTAAATACCAACAAGCAATGGCTTCCCATGGTTTCAAAGTGGTGCAGGATTTCGTCCATCCACAGTATCTCTCGCTTCCAGGAGGGCCTGGCGGCCATGCCCCTAGACAGGGTCACCCATCTATTGGCTTACCCTGACAAACTGCTTGCCAAAAGAAAAGGCAGGGGCCAACAAGCGGGATGCCCCTCATTCTCCCTCCCTTGAATGGATTGCTCAGAAACAGTCCGGACTCTTTGTAGCAGTTGTACTAAAAATGGTTCGCCCAACAAATCCAGGAACTCAGGGAGTAAGCTTAGTTGCCCCCGAGAGATCAAAAGCAAACTGGCAGATCCAAAAAAGCGGCGACCTGAGCCGAACCAACCGCGGAGCTTTCCTGGGACTCGACGCCATGCCATACGCCGCCGCGTTGCAAGCAAGACGGAAGGCGACCAGCCAAGGCGCCCAAAGCGTCCCAAGGGGCATCAAAGATGGAGTCAAAGTGCTTGTTTTTTGAGAATTCAGTTGGACCGTTGTGGGCAATCATTTGCAAAACATGTGTTGCTTCCGGCAGTCAGTCCTTACGTCCTTGTTGCTTGCTGCGGCTCACTTCTGCCATTCTTAACCTCAAAGTGAAGGCCAGCAATCTTGTAGTCACGGACGCATCAAACTTCTTAGCCTTCTAAGAAGTCGTCTCGAGAGCTGGGTTGAAAAAGCACACATCTAAAGTGTGACCCAAACGTGTTGCCCACCTGGATCGGCTATGTCCCTTCTTTTGTTGAATTAAACATCCTTCAAGTTAGCCTCTCAAAGAAACCACCCCAAAAGTAATCATTTTGAGAAGCCCTCCAAATACATCCAAATACAACCACTTAGGGCGGACATGGGAGGAACCCAGGCTGGTGCGATCTGCGGCCAGTTTCTGCGTGCGCGGCATGTTCAAAACTGTACACAACTCGCTCTCGAAGAGCGCGGGGCCTTTGCTGCCTCTCGGAAAGCGCGAGGCAACCATCTAGATATAGGCTACTCTTGAGCTCGCCGCTCAAAAGCTCACTTGCCCTTGCCCAGGTTGAACTTGAAGAAAATCACATCCCCGTCCTGAACCTGCGACGAAAAAACATGGCGACATGCGCTTTGCCGACCAAAGGATGACACGCGCCTCGTAGTTCTTGCCTTCTTGGCGATATTTTCCGCCTGCCTGACCGATCCATTGGTGCGATCAAGGTCAAACGTGTTGGTAGCGAAGGACCTTTGCTGTGGCGCAGTGTGTTGACAAAAAGTTGACCACAAACAAACCCAGCCCGCAAGTAGGCCCAGGCCAAAAAGCAAACAAGTACCTGGAGTCTCCATAGCCCTTTACAAATGGGTCAATGACCCTTATTATTTTGGGTAATGACCCCAATTTCCTCAGAGTGGACTTTGTTTTGCCTGATCCCCTCGAACCCAGCGCCCATCGGCCCATGGGGCCTTCACGGCTGCCTCACTCCCAAGCTCCTTGAGATCGCTATACGCCATCACCTCCGCCATAATGAAACCTGAGCGAAGGTCCACTTCCATTTGTTTTCTCGCCCCCCGGAGGAAGAAAAAAAACATGATTTCCAGTAATTAGTGAAAGATTCCCTTTAAAGCCAACAGGGGATTATTATTTTTTGGAACCTCTTAAGCACATGGAAGTCCAGGATTCGGAACCCAAACTTGGCTTTGGCTCTGAGCCATTGGAAGCTCGTGTGTTCGGCTTTAACCTGCGGGCCAGGCGCCTCATGGACTCTCCCCCCAGACTTTAGTTCCACACCACGTTTTCTGAAGCAAAACTGAGCAAAACATGATGAAACAGTTGAAAAATTGTCAAAACCTGGGTGCCACGATGTGATATTCCATGTCTGCCTTCGCGAACCCTTTCGCAGCATTTCGCGAACCTTGCGCACTCCACAGTGTTCCTTTCGTGGAGCACATTGGGCCAAGAAACCCTTTCGCGGAGCTTTCGCGGACGGCTCAGCAAGCAACCCAGTGTTCAAAATCGGCCTTTCGCGGCCCCTTTCAGAACATGAATCCTCGTGTCGGCCCTGTGATGCCCTGTGTTTCCCTTCGCGCAGCAACTTGCAGGACAACACCTACTAACTTCTTTCATCGGGGTTTTGAACGCTGCTCAATTGCGTTTGTTCGTCATGTTGCCCCCCTTGACCGAAGTGAATATGCGCTGGCAAAAAAAAAAACAGCACAAACAGCATTTGGCTGTGCTTTTGGGCGCCTGTAAACGGACCCAGTCTGGACTATATTGATATGGGTATCAACTCATTTAGTATAAGTCTAAAAACAAAAACATAAACTTATTGCGGGTCGGGCGGCCACAGGGTATTGAAGCAGTGGCCCAAAGGCCAAGCCCCGAAAAGTTGGGAAACGGCGTGACACTCGCAGGCTTTTCCAACTTCTGTGTCGGTTCAGGTGGGGAGGAGGGAAGGGGGAGACAGCCCAAATAAGCCTTAAGAACTTAATAAGATAAAAAAAATTGGGCTCCCTCCCCCTGCCCCCTTGACCCCGTAGACTTAAACCCAGGCATAGTGTTCAAGGGAACCCCCCACCCGTATTTTTTCAGCTCACCTCGTCAAAACACAGGGTTCCTGGAAGCATACATCCAAAAACCAGCCTTGCAAGGGAATTCTAATAGTGCAAACCTGGATTTTTCTGTACAATCGGACCCCCAACCGCTCAAGGCCCCCGCAAAAAACAATCAAGTCCCTTCAGGATCCCGAAAACAGTCGGGGCCCTCAGGGTTTCCTCTCTTGGGAAAACGCATGTTTTGGTGCTCAAGGGAAACCAAAAGGAACACCAGCTTTGTTTTGGGGAGGGGGGCTCTCAAGAAAAAGACCCCCCCAAATTGACAGGGATTCTTACATTATACACCTGAACATTGCCCTGTAAATGGTGGGTTCCCTTTATTTTGGTGTTGTAAAAGCTACATGTTTCAAATGGTTGCAAAATGTATCTTTTAAGGAGCCCTGCCGTTAAGGGTATCCGTTAAGGCATCCTGAAACAGGCCGCAGGTCTCGTCAAAATTCCACCGGCCTCGACTCGGCCCCTCGGCCCCTCGGCTCGGCCCCGCAGGCCGCGCCTTTCTCAAAATCGGTGTGGATGACACCCGCCGCCTGCGGAGCCTCAAGAAATTGAAGAGAAGCTCGGCCGTGGGCAAAAAAAAGCCACGGCTTTCCTAACTTGTTGCTTCCACTTGCTCAAGCCGCTTGGCAAAAAAGAACAGTGATAGATTCCCTTCAAACATAGTTAAAACCAACAAGGGAACATTAAACATCTTCTTAAGCGAATGGAAGGTTGGGGGCGGGGGGGGGGAGTAAATGACATCTGCAAAGTTTACAACTTCAAAACCTGAGATAGGCATGGATCCCCGAGTAGAGGACCTGCATCATTTTGACTCGCCATAAACAAAGGACAAATGGAATGAGGTTGTGGGGTATTACACGGAATGTGACTATTTAGCCCCATATATAGCCCTTTTCTTCCTGAGCGGGTGGGAACCATATAGGTCAAGGGAGTGGGTTTACAACTAGGCAACTGAGACACCTGCCGCCAGCTGATGGCTTGTCCATTGAGCATACGCCAGGGTGAAAGTGGATTTCCTTGTCGGTGAGTGCGGGGGGGGGGTGGCTTGGGGATGCATCTCAGGGTGCTCCTCCCACCCGGCTCCGGGCACCCCTCACCAAGAAATCATTTGCCCCCTTTGGGCCCCCGCTGAAAGTGTAACTCTTAGTGGGTTAAATGGAAACAACCACTAAACACTAGAAGGCTAAAAAGCAAAGGAACCGGATGGCTGGGAGCCACCAAGATAAGTTTGACACATCAGGTCTAAACCCAAAGGTCTTGAGCCATCAGGCCCCTTCCCCAACACCGAACCAAGCCCCGCAAAGTAATTTTTTGTGGACATAGCCCTGAACCCCCCGCCACCACCCCACCACCCAAGGCGTTTGGGATGGCTATTGGTGTGTCCATAGATACTCAGGGACACCTTCTGGTACTGACAAATTGCTGGGAATCTAAAGAATCCCTGCTCGGTCGGTTTAAGGGTGGGATGGATCCTCGCCACCACACCTTGTCTGAAGTAGTGGCCCGATTTTGGGGGCCTCAACCGTGGGGGCCCGCCTTGAAGCCCTTGCGGATGGTCCAGGCTTTGACCTCGTCCGGGCCCGCAGTGAAGAAGTTGATCAGGTGCACCTCACACGTGTCGCCGGAGAAGTTGGGGAAGACCCTCCCACCAGTTTCACACATGGGACCGTTCGACGTTCGGGGGAGCCCTTTAAAAGGAAAATGGTCCAAACCAGGACCCCCACACGTCAGGTTCCAGTTAGTTGGTGCGAGGGTAGATGAAAGGATGAACAACGTTAGGAACGCCACACGTTGTCAACATGTAAGTCAAAATTTGGCTAGCACCCTCCCAACTACGGAAGTGCACAAAGTCCCTTGCCAACTGGAAAGTCGTCTTTCTACCGAGGTCTTTGCACATGTTCGTTCGTGGCCCCTTGGCCAAAAAACGCCAAGGGCAAGAGTGTGACTCGGGCACCTGGAGGCCCTACCGCAGTGTTTTGACCATCCGACCAACTGATTTCCGGTCCCAAATGTGCGGTGGAGGGCCTACAAATGTTGCAAGTAAGAGAACAAACCATGAACATCTTATCATATTTCACCATGGTCTCGTGCTTGGAGTATGGTTGGCACACTCGCGAAGAAAAAAACAAGGGAGGGGGCACCCAGCGATCGCCTTTTCAACCCCCCGGGGCCCGGCACCATGTGGAAGGCGGTGGTGATCATCCTTGGCATGGCGCTGGTCACGCCTCGGATCGGTCCGGAAGAAGTCGCTTGCGGTCGCGTTCCACATATATCCAACCTGAAAAGCAGCGGCACCAATGGAAACTCACCTTGAGAGGTGATGTCGAAAACCACCAGTTTCCAACCAATAGACATTCCAGCCCACCAAACGGAAACTCACAGTGACATGCGGAGGTCTTGAACCACCCTTTGAAGGGGACAAAGGCTGAAACGCTCGACCGAATCCTTGCCAGGACAGATCAGACTTAGACTCTCTGCAGAAGTTCTCGTGCTGTTTGCAGAGCAAATGTACGGACGTCGACAATAAGTACGCCAGGGCAATGGCATGAGCCCGTATTCGCACTGATATGAATTCCTAGTTACTAAATTCATGTTCAAAGAACAATGGCTTCCAAATGCCCAGTACCCCTGGCCAGAAAAGGCTTGTTTTGAGGTTGGCCACTTGAAGCAACTCAAACAAAGGGATTCAGACAGAAACACGCAGATGTGTGTCAAACATGGGCGTGTTTTTGCTTCCCTTGAACACCTAGAGTAGCCTCGGCAACAACACACACCAAAAAAACAAACGAACACAAAAAAAGCAGAGGAAGTTCTTTGGGAGCCAGCCTTGGTGGCTTGCAGCTCTCGGGCCTTTGGTGGTTGATGGTATGTGGTTGATCAAGTTTGGCTGCTGCAACGAATCACTTGTTGGGGGTTAGTGGCAAACACAACTTTATGTCAACAAAAAAGTTAAAGTCTAAAGATCCAAGCCAATAGCAGTCAAGCCCAAATTTGACCATGTTTCCCATGTATAGTGATTTTAGGTTTCCATGCCGATCTGGGCAGTACTGCCACCTGGCAGCAGCCAACCAACCAACCAACCAACCAACCAACCAACCAACCAACCAACCAGCCAGCCAGCCAGCCAGCCAGCCAGCCAGCCAGCCAGCCAGCCAGCCAACCAAACAGACTAGTAAAACAACAAAACACCTCATCCCTGTAACAATTTTGAGTTTTAATGAATCAAAACTGCAAGCACCAAGCCGGGAAGACCAAGATGTGGCAAAGAGCCCACCCCTTTGCTGAAAAACCCTTGAATCAGGACCAGGGTTCTAATCCTGGGGAATGGATTTGGAACGCTTTTGCTGAGGGAAGCCACCATCCACAAAATCCGGAACCTCCCCCCCGCCCGAAAAACTGAGCCCTTGTAGTACGCCTTTGATTGGGGCTTCAACCAAAAAAGGAAGGTCGAAAGACGGGGAACCTGCGGGAGGAGTTCATGCGATGACGTCCCACGGGCTTTCCGGCAGAGGCGCTGTCTTCTTGCAGCTGCTTTTCTCTTTCCGCGTCCGTCTCCATATCCTGCAGCTCCTCCTCGTAGGAGCCGCCTCGGTGAAAAAGACAGGTTTTCGCGGAACGGGCAAATGGAATTGCGATTTTGAGGGTACATTTCTTTTTGGGGCTGCTTGAAAATAAAAGGGATCGTCATGTACCCATACTTATTTACCTCAAACATCAGCACCAATGGAAACTCAGCTACGGGCCCTTTGGTGTTGATGTCTAAAACCACCAACGACCGACCCGGTTCCCTTTTTGCTTGCCCCAGGGAAACTCAAAACCGCCCTCAAGAAAAACCTGGAGTCTCCACGACCCTTAAAAAAATGGTATCATTACCCAAAATAACGGTGTCACTCACCCATTTTTTAAGGGTCATGGAGACTCCATGGGTTTGTCTCAAACCGGGAGAACCTCCAACATGGCCACGGCGTCCTGTTGATCTCCCACTAAAAACCAAACAGCACCGGGCCTCGCACCTGCGGCAGCTTCCTCACTTGCCCCTTAGGGACCTGGAAATAAAAGGCGATCACCTTTTGGGGTCACTAAAAATAGACCAAACTTCCAGAAAACTAAAGGTCAAAAGGTCGATTCGCTTTGGGCAAGGAAGGAATTTTCTGGGGCGAGGTGCAGTAGGGGATGATCTCACTCCCCGGGGAGTTCTCCTTGACCCAGTCGAAGATCGCCTTCAGGAACTTGTTCCTCAGCAAACCACGCCCAAGGCTCCACCAGTGCGGCTGGTAAAGGGTGCCTCTTGTATAGATGTTGAAGTGAAACCAAAAGGAACACCAAAATCCATTTTGGGTTTTTGGGTGGTCCGATAGAAAGACACACCCAGTTTCTTGCAATCACATACTCAACACAAAACCAACGCTGACCCCATCCAAAGGATTCCAAAGGTTATCACGGTGAGCACACCGCTTGGCAATCGCCTACCCTGCCTTCGACTGTCAAACACTCCTTCAGTCAAGCAGCTTCCTCCTGCAGAAATCCTTCCTTAGCTCGCGGGTGATACACACGATGCGTGCAAAACAAGTGAATTCCGCAAGCATCGTGGGCACTTGGCCAGGTTGGTTGTAAATCCAGTTGTAACCCTCTTAATTCAGCTTTGCTAGCCAGGGAGTCCAGGAGGCCTTGCAGACATAGAGGCAGTCCACCCCTTAGAGGTGACCAGCCTCTCAGTTAGCTCACTTCCAACATAACGGAAGCTCTTGTACCACGGTTGCCAACGTTGTAGCAAGGTTGCCAACTGCTCAACGGGCAAGATCATTATTGTGTGTAACGCAAGCAGGTTCCCGCGTCAAGGGCCAATGTGTTCCTTTCGAAAAGCCTTGGGTCTTGTCACCTTGTCCATGTGCAGAAGCCGTTCTGTACCAAAGGAGGCCATCTCTGCGGCTACTTTCTCAATGGAAAAGCGGGGCTCCCGTGGCTCCGAAAGCGGCCTCAAACCCCTGCTTCCCATCTTGGACTCAAAGGTAAAACGGCCAAACAAATAGGATCATACTTAGGTCCCCCGCCAAACAAGACAAAAACATCTCCCACAACCGCGGTCTTGTCTCTTCTGCAGCCCTTCACACTTGCTTCGGCCCAGCAGCTTGTTCATGTTCACGGCATACATGCAAGGCTTCGCCGTGAGTAAGCCGTAGTCGTTCAAGAACTCGATGTCCTTAGTTGGGCAAGCAGGGGTACTTGACCCGTTGAATGGGTGTCTTTTTTGGGGAACTCCAGTTTGGTTGATTCTAAGGCACACCAAACTGAAACCAACAATGTAAAGATTGCATCCCATTTTCAGACAGCCCCAAATAACTTCTTTAACAAATGAGCTCCGCCGGGTGCTACACTGTTGCCTGTGGTGGAATTCTGGAACCTGCTTGTTGGACCTGTTTAGGGCCCCTGACCAACTTGTCCTGTAAATGCAATTCCCACGCAGGACTCCCTTTGGCAAACAGGCCTACTCTTTTCTCAATCAGGATTTCGGATTCTCTGTTTCCCCTTTTAGCCACTACCAACCAAAAGGAGTTTTCTTGAACTTGGCCTGTGTGAATGGTTACGTCATAGTAACCGCCAAGCGGGAAACAATCACGATAGGACGAAACAGCTTTCCTGCTGGGAACTGTGCAAGCCAGAAGGGATATGTTTGACAAAATCGCCATTCGCGACATCCTTTTACCCCAAAAGGGCCCAATATGCTCCTTTGAATATTAACCCACTAAAATGGACATTCACTCCACGCGGCCCTCAAACCGCCAAACAAAACAAACATCGGCACCCGTTGGAAACCCCTCCAAACGCAGAACGGTAATCTCCGCTGGAGGGGTAGCCCGAATGCCAAGCGGCTTTCGTAGTCCACTGGTCCATGCCGTTCCTGGGCACAAGGGCTCTAACTTCCGTTGCGTGCGATGTGTGGGCGTCGTTTTTTGGGGGTCAATATGCCTGGATGTTGGTGGTGGTCGTGTTGTGGTACCCGACCCTGTTTCCACCCCTGCCGGGCGCGCGGACGGGTTTGCTTGCCTGAAACCGCTCGGCCCAGGGGCGCGGTCAAGGCGTGAATTCCTTGTCATGATAGGCACGCCTGCTCAGCACTGCGCAAACGCCTACCAAATGATGGGCGCGCCCGCTCAAGAGCACGCGCCCCTGCCAAACGATAAGTTCACGCAATCAAGAGCATTTCCTCAGCACTGCGCATGTCGATTGATGCGCTGGCTTCTCACTGACCGGCTTGGTTCGTCTTCACTCCACAAGGAGGACCCACCAAAAACAGTCAGAAAAAGAAAGAAAGAAAAAGAAACAGCCCCAAGAATCCAGGAAAACGCGCAACAACACTGTGCCTTGCAGTATGGTGCGCTTGTGCGACGTCTTGGGTGGGGTGTGTGTGTGTGTGGAAACCGCCCTGTTGGAGTTAAGAAGCTTCGGCTACAAGGGGCAGCGTTCGACTTCTTTCGATTGGCTTTGACGCAAAACAGGTTCAGTCCCTCGAGAACCCATGTAATTATTGGGTCAAAACCCCGTACCCCGGTGAACATCCCAAATCCCCACTAAAATAGACTAAAACGGGTGGTGCACCTATCCCAAAATGGTATCGGTTTTGAACCTTCAAACCGGTGACCCTTTGCGGTGAACAGCCCGACCCCCCTGCCGCAAGCCGAGCCGCTTCACGTCCTGCCAATGCAAAGCGCACGGGAATCTGCTCTTCTTGGCTTCCCGATTGGTGGTTTGGATTGGAGGTGCTCTGGGCGAGTCCATTGCTGCCCTCTATAAGATCTGAGGCTTCAAATCCCCAAACCACCAACTCCGGGCTAGCTGACTTTTTCTGAGACACCAAGGGCACCTGCGCAGCCAACAAGAAACATAGAACAAAACGCGTCACGGAGCCCCTGCACAAAGTGAAAAGCACGTTCTGACTTTGCCTTCAGCAAAATCATGGAACCACTACCCTCCTTCCAATTGAAGTGGACAGGAGGTTCTCAAGAAGGTGGGGACCTCCCCACCTTCAGCTTCCATTGGAAGGATCTCCTCTGCCCAACCCAGAAATAGAAGATCACCTGAAAGGGGCCATTGAAAAAGAGAACCCGCAAAGGTGACACGTGGGTTGACACCTAGACGTCAAAAGCTCGATTGGTTTTGCTTGCAAGTGGGTGACAAGCTCAGTTCCTGAGCGGATTGGCCAGAGCCCTGTCAACCACAAAAATGGTCCAATGGCAACAAGTTGCGAGTGCGAGTTCCGAAGCTCAGGAAGTGAGTAATTGGGTATTCCAATTCTATGATGGGTCAATGGGTAATGACCCCATTTTTTACGAGTCTCGACTCCAGGTCGGTCCAAAGATCCCAAGGAGTTGCTTCTTGCTCCGTTACCTGGGTGGTCCTTGCCGGCTTCCAGCCAGGCAATGATCTTGTCCATAGTCTCCAGCTCCTCCTCCCACTTCCTGGGCTGAGCCGTCTCCCCGTATCCGTATCCTTCGAAACAGGTTACAGGTAACAAAACAAAACCTGGAGATCTGGGGCCTATGAAAGCGTTTGACCCCGTGTTTTTTATCCCATGTTTTGATTGACCTTCATGTTGCTTTTGCTAGTTGGCAGTTCGGTCCTACATGGAGTGAACAGCCTCCTAAATTGGCTTTATGTCCATGACCATATAGCCCAAAGAAGGCTTGCCGGCAGCTTTTGGACCCATTTCAGCCGTGAAAACCGACTGACATGGCTGGCACCCAGCCCAAGGAGCCGACGGACGAAAAAGGGGCCGAGCGTCTTGAGGTGCGCCGGGGACTTGGTCCGCGCCGCCGAGTGGCCCTTCTTGTGGTGCTCCACCTGCAGATCGATATCAACGCGGTCACTGGATTGGAGCAACGGTGGTTTTGTGCAGTTCGTTGCTACTAAACCGGCCTCTCCAAAAAGAAGAGGCGCTAGGGAGTGAGGTCAGCTTCCTAGGTGCCTTGGATTGGTTTGCAGGCATTCCACGGCTGCTTTCTCATTTGCCCTCTACCCAGGATTTTCGGCTTGGAGCTGTTCCGCGGGATTCGCACTTTGCCCTCGGCAGAAAGGGGGGTCCAATGCCCCCCAAAAATCCAAACCACCTGAGGACGACCTCAGGCAAAGAGTCCGGATGCGGCGAGGGTCGGCGTGTCCCTGGGGAACACAGAGAAAAAAAGGAATCGAGGCTGGAATCAAAAGAGCAACACGCCCCTGTTCTTTTGGTCTCATTGAGAAATAGCACAAAGAGACATGAAACCATGAATGACAAACATGATTTCAGCCTCCTGTTGTGCAAAACAAGGCACAAAGCTGGACTTGTCCAAAAAGCACCAATGCATGCGGACAATGGCCCTCAAAAAGCTGAAGCTTGCGCAACTGTGCAAGATTTAACCCCCCCCCCCCCTCCCCCGAGAAAGAGAAACCCCCAAAAAAAAAACATCTAACTTTGAGGCCCGAAAGAGATGCTCCCCTTTGAAGGACGGGCATGTCCTGAGCAACATGGGCTCAGGACCGTCATGTCCAAAAGTGCGCATTTGTTGGGTCGCTTGCGGAACCCAAAGGGCTTCCCGCAGCTTATGGCAAGCCACGCTCCCGTCACAAGTGCTTCAAGCCCACCGATAAAACAGCAGCCATAAGCGAGCCCGAAGTTAAAGCTCAAATCCTAACATGAATGGCACGGCTTCTTCTTCGGGGCGACCAAAACAAATGGCGGCCATGATCAGCAAATACGCCTTTGTACGGGCTTGTACGGGGTATATGCCGCTGCCCGCTGTTGCCTCACTTGCCCAAAGGACATGCCATGAAAAAACCCAGCTGGCTCAGATCCGGTCAGCTGGCTTTAGGCCAGGTTGCCTTGGCCCACCTGGGGGTCATTGGGGGTCCCAAGCCCATGGTCTGTAGCCACTTCGCCGGGCCTTGCCCTTCATGTAGCTGATGTCTTTCAAGCGCAGCTCGCTGCAAATTGTGTTGATGTCGCGAACCTCGGTTCGTCGCGCTTTTTTGCCCTGGCATACATGCGTGCTTTGGTTTGTGTTCTTTTGCTTTCCCGTGAAAGCCATCCACAAAAAATTGCACCCTCAGAGAAAACAACACCCATTACTTTACTTCGACCGACCCCACCTAAGTCATACCACGCTTTCTCCCGCGCCGCTAGCGTGCCCCATGGGCTGCATGGACAACGCAAAGGCACATCTTGCATTGTACACTCTAAATTCTCCAGCTAGGCTTCCATTTCGGTCAGAGTGCGATAGCAAGGATGACAAGGGTGGCCTCCAAGGCATCATCACGGCCGTTGCTGAAGGCTGTCGCAGTCTGTCACAGGCTCTGCTGTCAGATTTGTTTGTCACATCTGACTGACACATGCTCTGTGGGCGGGTGGGCGGTCCGGCCGTGGAGGTCGGATGTCACTTAAAACCGCACAACCCCGGGCAGGCAAAGTGAACCTGGACACATGCAAAGATCGACAAGTTATCCCATGCCAGACTCCCATGTAGTGCGGTGGAGCTTGCCGTGCTGACAGTTTCAGTACTTAAGGCAGCTAAAGGTCACCAACCCCAGAAAAAGTTTGGACTGCAAGGAACCTCCTGATCAAAGGGTTCCAATCTGGGCATGCTGATATCCATTCAGTGCTGGCAAAAGCCTCGCCCGCTCACGCAAAACACTTGCCAGTTTCTGGAATTTAGGCCCGTGACCGGATCGACGGTATCCTCTGCATGGATCACATCATCGTCCTCGAAGGCTCGCATCACGTGGCAAATGCCATCCTCAGATGACCGTTTTCTGGACCGCCAGTCAGTCTCTACTATGGTGGGTGAAAGGGCAAGCCACGAGGACTATCTGCGGCTTCAATTAATTCATTCCAACCCAGAGCTTGCAGGAACTCTGATAATTTGCCAACCCAAAATGAGGGGAAACCACACAAACTGTAATTTCCCGTGGCCCGAACCACAATCTTCCCCGAATCTCAGAGTACCCCTCCGCAGCTCATGAAACTGCAAGGGGCCAACTACAACACTCAGCCATAGTTCGGGCTGAGCTCTTTCGTTTTCTCTGAGCTGTCCGTTTTCGATCCCCCGCTAAAAGGTTTAACTTTGAAAGGGTTGAATGGAAACCCCCACTAAACACTAAAAGGCCAAAAGGCTAAGGGGATGGCTGGGAGCCACCAAGTTATATAACCCCTCAGCTACTTCGCGTTTGGGGTTCACCCTGACGTGGTTTGGTCCGGCCAACTCGACCACAATTGTGGAAGGGCGCGCCGTTGAGCACGAAGCTCCCAGATCGGAGCTGCAGAGCTTCACCCTGAACTAGTTGAGTTTCAAAGGGGCCGCTAGGAAAGCAACACGTTCTCCGGCGTCCGCCCAGCCATGGAAAGGTGCATTTCTGGGATATGCCTTATATGCCTGAGAAAACTCAGCTCAAGTGGTTGAAGTGGGTGAGTGTGTTGTTGATCGTTTGCCTGGGGCTGTTGTTCTCGAGGATGCGAATAGCTCGTAGCCGGGGTTGCCTAAGGACAAATCCTGGCGACCTTCACAACCAAAACAAAACGAGGGCCATGAAGCAACAGAAGAAGAAGGTTTCTATGTTGAGGGCCTTCCCACGGTGTGAGTGGTCCTTTCTGACGTCGGACACCTCATCAATACACTGAATCCACTTACTGCTCAGGTGGCGGGATTTGCTTTCTTGCAGGGCACCCCTAAGCAATCACTGGGAGATGTAGCAATCAGGGGTCAAGAGTAAAGTGGATTCAAACGCAAGGGCCGAAGAATTACATGTATATTGACTTGATAGCACCGCCCCACAACCCTGTTCTCAGCATTCAGGGCCCTAAGAATTCTGCGCGAAGGGCGATCCGCTTGGCCACTCAGAAACGTGGCAGTCCAAAACCCAAGCAGATCTATCATGTTTGTCCGCAACGCCCATGAGGTTGGCTTCCAAGCAGCCCCAAAAACAGAAAAAAGGAAACAAAACAAGCCGCACCCCCCCCCAAAAAAAATAAAATAAAAAAAGCCCCCCACCCAAAAAACATAGATTACGAAACAAAAAACACAAACCCAAAACAAATCCCAAACCCCACACCCCAAGCAAAGAAAACAAATATCCAACCCCCGCCCACAAAACAATCAACAAACAAAACACATCCCCATCAGGTCAAAAAACCAAAAGTACTTCCCCGAACGTAGTGGTTGGGCGGGGAACAAACCCCAAAAACCAAAACGACAAAACGGCAACAGGAAAAACAAACTGGGTATTATTGGCCTAGCAATATCCTCAGCATAGCCTGGACCAAGTTGCGCCCCGTTGGGCTGGGCATCTGTACGCATGTGTGTGTGTATATGCGCATGCTCTATGTGTCTATGTTTGTATGCACGTACGTATGCATGCGTGCGTGTATGCGTGCATGTGCGCAACTGACCAACCAATCAACAAACCAACTGACCAACCGACCGACCCACCCACCCACCAACCGACCCACCGACCCACCGACCAACCAACCAACCAACCGACCGACCGACCGACCAGCCAACCAGGGGGACCAACAAAACAACAAACAACCCCAGGCAAAAAAAACACAAACAACCCCGCCCAAACAATTAGCACTTTTGGCACCGGTTGCCCTAAAATCTGTGGAAGTGGATGGACGAAATCCTGCACCAAAGCCATTGCTTGTTGGTGTTTACAGGGGAATCGAATCATTCCGATGGGTTTCTTAGGTGGTGCGAAGTGGATTTTGTCCATCCACAGTACCACAGCGAGTGCCGACGTGTTCTTGCGACTTGGAGTCCACGGACTGGATGTGGGAGAGGAAAGCGTTGCCCAGGCCCTCACCTGGCCCCATGTTGTTCTGGCGGCTAAAAAAAAAGGTGGCCGACTGGCCCACTGGGCTGTCCGTTTTCAGAGCCCTTCTGGGTCCTCCAGCCAAAAAAGGGGGGCAAGGGCACTAGCGGGGGACCTAGCATCCGTTTTTAGATCCCTTGCTGAAAGCACAATGTTTAGTGGGTTAAATGGAACTCCAACCACTAAACACTAAAGAGCTAAGGGGGTGGCTGGGAGCCGCCAAGAGAACGTATGGGTGCTTTTTCAGCACAGGGGTCGCCTTTGTTGGATGGGTTTGAAGGAGAACCAACAAGAAAGCAGCAGAAGGGGTATCATAAAGCTTGATCATGTTGAGCTCGGATTCCTGACCGTGGCTTCTTCTGGTACGGAAATGATCTAATTCAAGGAGGGTCCTCCGGATGAATTAATCCGAAGCTGACACGTGGATGGCCCAAATCCATGCGACTCGATCGGCACCAAATCGGTGGGATTGGTGGTCATCCGCTCGGCCAAGCAACCGGTTTCACCACCCAAACGGATTCCATCTCTGAGAAACTTCATGTCCAGTAGTGCAATCGACCTCCAGTAGATCCCAAAAAAAGGGGAAAGGGCACTATTGGGAGACCTAGATTTCTTTTTAAACCAACAAGGGGGAAAAAAAACACAAAAAAACAAGCAAATGGAAGTAGACCCGTTCAGCTGGTTTTTGCAGAACCCTCTGGTTGCAAGCGACCTGAAAGTAGAAGCAGGTTGAAGTGCTTGCAGCCAACCCGGGTTCCTCTTTTGTGGTTCCTCCAAAACCAATCGGGACCTGAAAAGCGTGGGCTTCTAGAATCCTCGCGAAACCCGGCAAACAAAGGATTTCACATGTTTTTTTTGGCGTCCGAGACTCAGCCCGGTTGTTTATGGAGAACCCTTCAAACAAACGGAAGCTTGAACATAGCTTCCATTTGCTTAAGCCCCCCGAAAAAAAAAAAAAAAAAAAAAAAAAAAAAAAAAAAAACACATCCAGTAGTGATAGATTCCCTTAAAAACCAACACGGAAAAAAAATATTCACAAGCAAATGGAAGTTGGTAAGTTGTCAATTCATAAAATCCTGGGCCAGCCGGGCCCGATTTTCGCCCCAATGCTTACTAAGCAGGGGCGAATTCAAAAGTTTACCGACCATGCTAGTGGGAGGAAGGGCAAAAGGTTTCCCTGTACTCCCCCTTTTGTGGGCTCCACCAAAAAGACGCCTAAAGGCACTGGACTAAAGGCGCCAAAGGGCCCTGGTGCGCGCCAGAGATCAACCCGGCAATGTCCACCACCGTCACAAAGGCCTCCGGGTGTTCGGACGCGTGACCCTGGACACCCCACAGAATCAGAAACTTGGTTGACCTTGGAAGTTGAGCTAAAATTGAGAATTTAGCGGTGAAGTGGTTGGATTCCAACCACTAAACCACAATAAGCCAAAAAATCAAAATGTTTCCCAACATAATCAGAAAGGAAGGTTCCAATTCCGAGGGGAAAAAAAACACAACTACCTCGGTTTTCTATGAAAAATACCACCATCCCCGTCCCAACATAAGGGATGTTCCAGGGTTGTGGGAAAGGACGACTGCTTGATACAACAACAAATATGCTTCCCAAAGACATTCCGACCCCCGTATAAAGGGGATTCCTAAAAGTATCCCAGAAGTGGTTGGATAAACCCCGAGTGATCCCACAACGCTGGGATGTTCCAATTCTGCAAAGCAACAAACCTTAGTTTTGCCTGAACAATGCCACCTGGAACCATCCCCCTCCCAACATGTTATTCCTATGGTTTTCAAGGGCCCAACCAGGGGCTGGTTCCCCAATGTCAATAGGGGTCTAGGGTCTAACATATTTCATTTTGGGAACCATTTCCAGGGGTCGGAACCCTGAAAACCATAGGAATAATAATGAATAATGATTTTCTGTTCTAGTTAGTCAGGTTCATAAGCCTCTGGTGGATTTTGAGTGGGGGTGCCCAATTCCTTTTAGTGGGGATTCATTTGCTCGTCGAGCGTTACCCTATTAATGGCTGGCTTCCTTTTGAAGTATCAACATTTTATTTTGAACCCTCCCAAACGAACAGGGTTCCCTGTTAAGGTGTGCGGTTGTTGAGGGAGCACTGTTCACCTTGCTTTAAAGGGAAACCAAACGGAACACCGAAGCTTCTTTTGGGGGTCGGCTTGTTTAGACACATCCTCAAATGCAGCTGGTTACAATAAGAACCTGCTACTAGAGGAGTCTATGTAAAGCAAACGGCTTTGTGTCTATTGTATTATCATTGGAACTGTCCCTTTGCTAACCTTCATCTACCTTGGCTTTGATTGCGTCTCACTTGGGAAGACTGAAGCAAACAAAAACTATGTGTGTTTGGCAGGGGGTGGTGTGGTCTGGGCAGGTGGGAGCATTTGTGAAAGACCGAAACCAAACTGAAAAACATGAATATTGATTGCACTCAAACCAAACGAAGAAGTAGACCCCCCCAGTCTGCAACAAGGCATTTTTTGCCCGTTGACAAGGAACATGAAGGACTGCAGTTACCCAGGTGAGCTACTCAGTTGCCCAGTGGCCGTGATGAACAAGGGTTCACCTTTTCTGGGGGTTGACCTTTTCTAGTGGAGACATCCAAGGAACAAGTGGGAACGCAAGCTACAGTGCATGCCCTACGTATTGCAAGTTGGGGACCAAGTCTAATTTTTCCGCTGGTTCAGTATGCTTGGTTTACTCGCAATCTCACTGCTTGAGTGGAATACTGCAAAAAAGCGTGTGTTTGCAGTGAACAATGGATTTGTCTCAAAACAGGATGAGGCCCTACAATGGGTGGATTCCTTTTGGAGTCCCCTTAGACCCAGCCAAAACTTGCTGGTGCTCGGGAAAACAAAACGAGGAAGGACCCTCATAAACCGTGTCTTGTGGTTCCCTTTAAGGGAATCCCTGAGTTTATTCCCACATTCCCAGCTGAGCACCCGCACAAAAAAGGCGACCAAGCCAAACAAGACGAGCCACCCACTTGAAGATGCATCCGAACGTCTATCAGAGTCGCGCCCCAGTCAAAACCAACCCACGTTCCCAAGTCTGGCAAAAGTCGTGGTTTCCGTCAAAACCCGAGGACACTTCAAACACCATCAGCACAGTGTGGTCTCCCTTGAAAACCGAAGGAGCATTTACCCTCCCGCCAATTAACATGGAACCTGACGCTCGAGGGGTCCTGGTTTGGACCATTTTCCACTTCAAGGGATCCCCGCCCGAACGTCGAACGGTTCCACGTGAAGCGGGTGGAAGGGCAAACCCTCGCGGCCAACTCGTCCCCTGCGCAAAAAACTCGGCGCCTTGACCTCGCTCTTGGGCTTGTGCTGGGCCACGAGCCAGTCAAAGCGATCGTCTTCCACGAAGGCCCTGGTCTCTGTGGGGTCGATGGTACAAAAAGGCACCTCGGAGGGTTCGATTGTTGTTTTTTGGTTGTTTGATGGTTGCTTTTTCGGGCGTTTTGTGGTCTCTTGATTGTTTGTTTATTTTTTCCCCTGCTCTTATTGGTTCTTGCCGGAAAGCGCGAGAGCTGTTTGCTAGAAGCGCAGTAGTTACCACAGAATTGCCTGAACTCCTGCTTGATCTTGATGGGGGGGTGTCCGATCCCTTTTTGTGGTTGGATTCAGATCACTTTTGAGGGGCGCCCACCCCCGAATAATGGGACGTGTGTGATACTGGTTACCCGGGTATTAGGCAGTATCAAAGGCGTACCAGTCATACCGTTTCAAGAAAGGTCTCTGTGGAAACTGCTTTTAGGCACATCAAACCAAAGAAAACCACAAGAAGCTAAACAATTCACACAACAGAGCTGCATTATCCTTAATAACCCTGGAAACTCCTTACAACAGTGCCAGCCCTGGCAAGGCCCTCACAGCAGCTGCTGTTCCACTCATATCAGAAAAGTCTTTGCAGCAATATGATTCTCATCCCAACTTGTTCGCAAACGCTTCCCAACTCTTTTCCGTGCATTTCCCAACTTGTCCCAAGTTTTTCCATGCTCTCAACGGCTACCCAACTTGTCCCAACCTTGTCCCAACCTTTTCCCATCTTTGTCCCAACCTTTTCCAACTTTCTCCCAACCTTTTCCCAGCTTTTTACCACCTTTTTCCCCCAACCTTTTCTCCCCATTTTGTCCCAACCTTTTCCCAACCTTTTCCCAACCTTTTCCCACCTTTTTTCTCAACTTGTTCCCCGACTTGTTTCCCGACTTTTTCCCAACTTTTTCCCAACTTTCTCCCAACTTTCTCCCAACCTGTGCCTACCTTGTTTCCCAATTTTTTCCCCGACTTGTTTCCCAACCTTTTCCCAACTTGTTCCCAACCTTTTCCCAACCTCTTTTTTCAATCCTTTTCCCAACTTTTCCCAACCTTTGTCCCAACCTGTTTCCCATCGTTGTTCCAACATGCTCCAACTTTTCCCAACCTTTCTTCAATCTGTTCGGAGCATGCCCACATCAATGGAGCAGTGCCCTGATAATGAACTCAACTTCAGAAGATTCCTTAGTTCTGGTCATGCACTCAACCTGCTTTTTGTGGATTTTATGCAGCCGTGAACAGTTAGACAAATCACTGAAAAGACCTCATTTGAAAAGGCCCGAATGGTTATTTGAAGACAGTAACTCTGGTAGAAGAGGGGAGCCCTTGAGGTAAACCCACTGAACTCACCAAAAAAAGTTGGACAAAGTTGGCGTGACGAGCATCTAAGAGAGATAGGATTTCGGGTGCAATGGAAAATCGGTTGCATTACCTTCAAGCGGCGCAAGGTCGTCACTGAACAACTGGGTATATGATGGCAACTCCGGGTGGTGTCATACGATGAAACTGAATATGAAAAAGGCCATCCGGATACTTCATTTTTGGGGATCCGAAACACCCCGCAATGCATCGACCAGGATGCAGAAATAAATCGAACAAAATCTGCTTCTGGCAATGGGGAACGCCCCATTCTTTGGGGCCCTGTAGCTTCCCCTGGCGACTTCCATTTGAACACCATCTGAATGATTTATGGGGAATGCCCTGGGCAATAGCCATGACAAAAGGAATAGATTCGCGCGCACATGGGTATGTCAAAACGGGGGGGGGGATTGTGGTTGTCCTCTTGGTTTCCTTTGAAAAAAAGGTTCCCCCCAAAAAACACCCACATCCTTCTTGCCATTGCGTGCTTCCAAGCGGCGTTGGCAGTCTTGGAATGGTGCGACTTACCTCACGCCAGCGAATGGGCCGACAGGACTAGGCTGGAATTAGGACAACTGCAGTTTATATTTTTCCTGGTTAGTGGAAAACAAAGGGACGCCAAAAAAGCAAAAAAAAAGAAGAGGGGGATCTAATTCTGGGGAAAAGGAAATGAGAGCTTTAGTTGAGCAGCTCCCGAAGCCTTGACCTTCGACCCCTGCAGCGAAGGGACAAGGAGCAAAGCGGTAAAGATTGTCGTCCACAACCAGTAGACCACAAAGGGGGAGACCAAAGGGGGAAACCAGGCGACTCTGGGCCAAGATTCAGGCATTCACTGGGCTGAGGCCATCCAGGACAAACTGGCCCGACCACCAGACTTTGTCAAGCGCACCCTCGACTAAAACGCCAGGCCACTGCAACGATCCCTTCGTGCAACAAATGACAGCGCTATATAACGAAGCCCGTCCGAAACAAGGACGCGCCCATCCAAACAATCAAACCTCAGCTTTCCCCATCCAAAAGTGATATGAGTGATTCTTAAAGTGCAACACACACACACACACACCAAAATAAAACAACAAACAAGCTCAGCTCCCAGAAACTTGAAACTCAACTACGGGCCAAGCCGCTCAGAGTATTGTAGAGCGTACTCTTGCCGACATTCCTGAGGAACCGCGGCAGCTACCCTACGCATGGAACCTGAAAGGCGATCCCTCCAAAAGGAAACTGATCTTCAGTGGCTGAAACAAGGAAGGGCCGTCCCGTCCACGAATTAACATGGAACCCACCAAAAAATCCCTTCTAAAGGAAAATCGTCCAAACCAGACCCCCTGCCATGGCGACGGGAGGCTATCTGCCAGTTGGCCAACACGGGTTCGACAACAAACTGGCAGGGTCCACGTTTGTTGGTTTTCAATATGAGGGGGCTCTAGAACAACAAACATATTGATACGGCAAGTTGCTCGTCCCTGTTCGGTTTCCTTGCGTGACAATCAAACGAGCTAGGGGTCAATTAGCAGTAATTAGCACCCAGCGTGAAGGCGTGAAGAAACATGAGTTCACCAACCCAAAGCAAGAACACATTGAAACATAACACATTTATTGGGTGACAAGTCAGCCTATCTGGTTTCACTATTTGCCGCCTCAGCACTGAGAAGTGCGGTGCAACTTGACACCAATCCGATTGTCGTCATGGTCACCACCCAGCTTTCACTCCAAGTCCCCTCCCTGACCACCGGTGTTTGGGATTCTGAAGGGGGGGGTATAAACGGTACAGTCTTAACCCGATTTGCACCAGGGAGAGTTGGTAGATGCCACCATCTCCTTTGCTTTGGCCTCTCGGGGACGCCCAAATGGAGTGGACTGCCAACTTTCACCCAACACAAATGCCCAGGGGACATGGGGGAAAAGGGATTTGTTTGGTTGGAAGGGTTTAAGGAGAGAAAAACCCCAACGCCACTGGGCAACTGGGGTTCGCAAACACAAAACTCGCTGGTGACTTCACTATGGGTCAGAACCCTGTTCCGAACATCAACATAATGGGTGTTCATCCGCCCCAAAATGGAGGCCTAGGTTCTGACTCACCCATGGCCACTTGTTTCACCAAGGCTCGGCATGCCGACCAGCCCGACCTTCAGAGCTCGCGACCATCTCCCGAGCATCCATGGCCCAACCACCTCCTGCCGCTTGGCAGCTGGAGACTTTTTCGGCAGGTTGACATGGAGGTCGAGACGGCCAGACTCAGCTGGGGTCTAAGATCCCAAGCTGAGATGGCTCGTCACCCCGAAACCAAACATTACAACACATTGCATCATTATTTCAAATGATTCGTAACTTTCTAGCCTCTGAGATGGATCCTTGCTCGGCTCCCCGTCATCCTTCGAACCAATGATTCAATACTTAGGGGTGTCTTGTTTTGAGGGTGCCTATTTTGGGGTGGTTTTAAAGGGAAACCAGAAGAAAACCAACAATGCTTGTGGTCTCTTATTTGGAAACACAGTCGTTTCAGTCGAATGCAAATCTATCTAAATTAGGACGGAAACCAAACGCCCCGCAAATCCGCCAAGGGCAAGCTCTCTAAACAACTTGCTTAGGAATTCTGAAAACCTTACTTCCTGAGTGGATTGGCCACTTTGTGTTCATCTAAAATTGTCTTTCCAAAAAGTTCAAAGTTCAGGAACTCAGGAGGTGAAAAAGGGTTTAGGGGAGTCCTAACCTCCCTCGACTCCTGTCATATGTCACTGTCTGTCCTTGGCAAAACACATGTTAGCTGCTACAGTGAATGAGCCGAACCAAGCTAAATCAAGTGCCACCTACCGTTAGCCAAACTGACCCAGAAAGGGCACCTATCTAGGCAATGCACTATGATTCACAAACCGCAAGCAAAAAGGATGACCAGGAAAACGGCCTTCATCACTCTGTTTATCACATGAGCTCGTTTTACATGCAGCTCGGAAGTTGCGCAAAGCCACGGGCAGGCTCATCCGTCCTCCTCCACTTTCTTCTTTGGCGGCATGGCAACGGAAGGCTGAGCCAAATGTTGGTTGCTCCGCGGCCAGCTTCTGAACCGAGGACTGCGCAAAACCCATACCCACGATGCAAAACTGAAGCCTACCCAAGCCGCAAAAACACCTTGGTGATACTGTGGATGGACGAAACTCTGCACCACTTTGAAACCATCATGTGATTCCGTTGTTTGTTGGTATTGACAGTGGAATCATCATTCCAGGTCTTCTTAGGTGGTGCAGGATTTCGTCCATCCACAGTATTGCCCGAAACCCAAGGATCATCGCGATCGGACTTTTCCACCATGCCGTCGCACTATGCTCCTATGAAACAATCGAGGATGGGGCAGTCGCGCCTGCAAACAGCCCTCCGGATAACGCGTCTCCGTGCAGCAAAGAAGCGACAGGATGGCACGGCAAGCCCGGGAATAAAGCAACCCCTCCACTCATTATCTGAGTCAGCGTCAAAATTACGTCCCATATTGTTTTTCCGAGGAAAACCCAAATAAACGACGTGCGCATGAAACACTCCTTTTCATAAAGCAAGTGACGGAAAAAATATTGTGCCATCAATGGTGCAGTTCACTGGACACGATATCCAACAAAGTACAACAGCCAGGTTCGCCAGGGCCATCATTCATTTCCGCCAAGACAACACCCAGATGGCCGTGGCTCAAAAAAAAACACACGGAATTCCAAAATGGGTTGCCCTGGCAAGTGGAGACATGGACCAAGACCTGCGGCTTGCCCCTCCTGTCTAATTTTGAGCCACACCCAGATTGGTTCAGTCAGTGGGATACCCATTATCTTCCCAGCCCTTGCGAGTTCCTCTGTAGCCTGCTTAGCGAACCAAATGCCTCAAGCGCTAGCTGAAGCAGCCGATTTGGACTCCCCCAAGCCCGTTGGTCCTGGGAAGAGGCTCTTTGGGGGTTTGGCCACCTTTACCCTCAAAACATGGGGAAAACACTCTTCACTGAAAAACTGGGAGGAAAGAAAAGCACCAACAGCACCCAGCGGCTTCAATCCAGCTCGCGAGATGTCTCACCAAACGCTCTCACCTCGCTCAATTCGCATGGGGAGCTCTTTTTGGGCGTCCTTCCTGCATTGAATCAAATGATGACACATTTTTTTAGGGATGCTTTGATAAAAAGGTTGTGTCTTGCGCCCGCAGTAGCGTTCAACCAACCGAGGTAGACAACCCATGCAGGTATCACTGTTCGACGTTCCCACGGGATACAAACTTCGCCAAATAAAGGCGATTTGCTCTCATCAAGTCTTGGTCCGCATTTGGGGTGCACAGAAAGCAAGTACATTATGGTTTATGTTTTAAGTTCAGCCTAGCATAGATCCAAAAACGTTTGGAAGGAGACCCCGGAAGTCTGGCAATGAACAGGATCACAGCCCTCTCAGGAACTTGCTCGCGCCGCTCGCCCGCGATAAATCCTTGTGCGCCGAAAGCAGTTGTGCACCGCTCCCGGGGCAAAAACGTAGAAGCCAGCCGCACACGTGCCCAGAGTGTTGGAAACCAAACTGTCAAACCCCCAAACGTGCCATGTATGCCAAATGTACCCACATTCACCCCAAATGGGTGTGGATTGTGGGGCGGTCAAAAAGTTTCTATAAAACAACTCAACGCACCCGAGTTGTACCCGGCCGCCAGCTTCTTTCAAGAAATGGAAAGGCAGCTGGGATCCGCGTGCGTGGGTTGCTCCCTGGGCGGACAAGCGGAGGGGGGGACGCCACAAAAGTCGTGAAGAAGTGGCTGTGGGACAAAATTAGTTGGTAACCCAATAATTATTTGTCTTATTATTATTTTTGTTAACAAAGGACTAAAACCTGCGGCCCAATTCCTTGTGGTTTGATTTGACCCACAGCCAAGTTAAGCTCGGCCCGGTTCAAATGATAGATTGCCTTTAAAGCCAACTATGCGAAATAACAACTATGAATCAAATGGGTGTGGGTCCAAATTAAACAACTCTGGTTACGCAGGTTGTGTTTGGTCTTTCTATTTGCCAAGGCTCCATTTTGGACTGCCGTGCTTGAGCCACAGCTAAATGGACTTTGTAGCTTCGGGGAAGCAACCCATGAGTCAAGCTGCACGAAAGCAAGCCGGCGGCAACGCCGAGCCCAGTGGCCAGCGGATTGGCGTTCTTTGCTCTTCTCACTTGCCCAAAGGACCTGGAAATAAAAGGTCAACCTTTTGGGACCTGTACTAAAAATGGACCAAATCAGGGAAACCAAAAGGTTAAAAGGTCGGCTTTGGGCAAGTGAGTCTTCTAGGCCCTCCAGTAGAGAGGTTAGAAAAAGTTGGTACCCTTTCTTCTGTAGCCTATTTTAGTAGGGGAACCCTCCCAACCGAAAAAGGGTTGGTGAAAGGGCACCACTGGGAAACCTAGGTATTCTCACTTCCCAACGAGTGGACTGGCCCAAGAAGCCCGAACTTGCTATTTGCCACGAAAAGGGTCCAAAACCCACAAAGTGTGAAGTCCATGAACTCAGGGAGTGGGGAATTGGTTTTTCAATCCAATCCATCAAGGCTGAACACGCACCCTCCATATGCCACAGGCATGCCACACGAGCCAGCTTGGCCGTGCTTTCCGCAGGCCTGGCTCATCTACTCCCAGCCGCGCTCAAGTTTCAGGAACTTGCCACTCCTATCCCGTGGTTTCATCTTCAGGTCCTCCAGTACAGAGGTTAGGATAAGTTGGTACCCGATTTTTCTCTGCAGTCTAGTTTAGGGGAACTCTCCCCCCAATAAGTTGGTAAAAGGGCACTGCTCGGGGACCTAGATCTCCTCGAAGGTAAATAGCGGATATGCCACGAATCCAACTCTAAACTCCAAGAACTACTACGCTACAAGCTACGGAAGCCGAAAAGGGGCTACCCCTTTTTTGAGTTTCCTCTCCAAATGAGTTGGTGTTTCGGTTTCATTCCAGTATGTCTGTAGGGAAGCAAGAGTCTCAGTTCATATGTCTGAGAAGCTCCGAGCCTCTTGCAAACTAGCGCTTGGGGCGAAAGTCCACCCAACCAAATTCTAGAATTGGGGCCTGGGGAAAGTAGTGGAACCAAGCATCATGGACCTCAACCAAAAGACAGGAAACCCAAAGTGGAGAACAAGAGGGTATCAGCTGAACACTTGACTCTGTGCTAGGTGGCAGCAGGCTGCACGTGATGAAATTTCTCGCTCAAAAGTGGAACTTCTAACTTGGGGTCTTGCACTGGGCTTCTAACCCTGTCCATAACCAAACCCAGGCGGCCAAGTGTGGTGTTGGCAAGAAAAATCCGAACGCATTATGGGAATGGGGGAGGTGCACCTAAACACCTCTGAAGAGTGATTGTTTCTTCCGGCAGCGAGCAGGGTGTAGAGCCCTAAGTGAAACTGTTCCCGAAGTTGGGAACAAGCTTACCTCGAACCTCGTGCGCGACTCCTCAGTGCCTTCTGCAAATGTATGACTGGGCTTATCCGGGCTTGATTGACCCCCAGCTTCTGGTGAGGCATGAGTGTCCATGACCTTAGCCAGGTTGTTAACAAGGACACAAAAAAGCAAATACCTAATTTATGAATGTGCAACGTTCCTAGTTCACTTTTTGGAACCTTCTGTTTCCCCAATAATATTTCTCAGACACAACATGGTCCCTGAGCACATAAACCGAGACATAAGCACAACTGCAGAGTTGAGGTCTGGTAAATCAAGAAACACAACACCAAGAAACGTCTGGCGCTGCGCTTGGCATCCGGCATCTGGCATCCGATTCCATATCCAAGAGGGACATTGGTCGAGAAAAATGAGCAGGCGTTTTGAGCGTACCCAACTTTGTTCATGCCCTTTTTCTGTAGATGACTGCAAATTGAAGGGACCTTCATGTGTAACATGACTTGAGATCGAAGGGACCGGAGAGTGACCGCTTCTTCCCAGCTTCCGCCCCCTTGGGGATGAATTAAACGGCCGCCTCAGAAGGATACGACGTTATCCCAGCTCGGGCTGACGCCCATGCGCTCACCCATCTTGACATATGTCCTCGGCGAGTTTGGGGCCCAAAAACCAGCATGTGGCCCGCTACATGGGAGTGGCTAAAAATTCAAGAGCTAGGGACTGCTGGTTTTAGTGTACTTTTCCATGTGCCAGGGTTCCATTTCGAGTTTTCTTTTGGAGCTGCACCAATATGAGCAAGCTCATTCCCTATAAGATGCGTAGATGATATTTCGTTTTTTTCCGCAGGCGGGAAGGGCCCTCCTTCGTTGGAGGCTTCATAGGTCATACACTCAGCAGTCTAAGTTATTTAGCAACCTGGCAGGCAATCATGGGGGCCTCTTTTCGGAAGGGTTTTGCCAGTATGACACCGATCAAACACGAAGTCCCCATTGAAACCCCACGGGGCACTTCCGAAAACTGGTCTCCAGGGCATCCGATGTATATTGTTCCCGGAGGGCTCTCTGAGTCTCTTGCTTCAGTTTGGGGATCGCTGCAACCTGAGGGCATCAACAGTTGTTCCGGCCGGCCCCCCCTTCAAAGTCCCCAGTCCCCCTTTCATGTTTGTTTCCGCCTCTTCCTCTCCATTTCTTTCTAGCCTCCCTACACTTTTCCCTTTAACCCATGAGGATGATAACCCACCCCGTGCGTTGTATCACCCCCCCCCCTTTGCATGCTTTCCCGTGCACTTTAAACAACAAAAGCGCATAGAAGAAACCGTAGACTCGTCCGGATTAACCCTCAAAGGGTGAGCCTGCTCCCTCATGCGGGGGGAGCTTTAAATGGCACCCCAGCTCACAGCTCGTCCAGCTTCGCTGCCCTTGTGGTGTTCTCTTGAATAACCCTCCCCGCAGGGGTTTAGCCCTCCCCCGAAAAATGGTGGCAAAGGGCACCTAGCTGGGGGACCCAGCTATTTCTCCCACAAAAAGAGGCAAAGGCGAGCCATGCCCGTGATGGCCCGTGACTCCCTGGATTCAGCCAGGAGGCTCCAGGCCATGAGCGGAAGCTTCCAACAGATCCTTGTCCCAAGCAACGGCGCCCGGCTCCGTCAACACGACGCCTCGAGAGCGCTCTGGGCAGCCGTGGGCTCGGGTTTACCTGATGGGAGTTTGGGAGACTCCCATGGAACCTAGGCTTGAAGACCAAATGGTTGCCCTTAAGGGAGAACACTTGAGCCACTGTTTTGGGGGGTTGGGGGGGGGAGGCTTGAAGACGAAAGCTGAAGGGAGGAAAGTTGATTGAGGGAGGGGCCGTACATGTTGATACAGTTTGCCTCAAGGAGTCCTAAAGGGACCAACTTGAAAGGCCACGGCAAGTTGACTGCAAGGCGCCTCGGATTGAGCGGACTGTGGGGCGCCCAGCTCAAATTACCCCGAACGGGGGAACGGGGGAACGGCTTGTCTCCAAGTGCGGGGACCCACAAAACGGTTCATGTCCTTCCCTTTGAAAGAAACCTAAACTTGGTTGCTGTTGACTCCCCTGCAAAAAGTTGACTTTTGGGGGGGTTTAGTGGAACACCCCTTGATTTCCCAAAAAGTTAAAGTCTAAAGATCCAACCCAGTAGCAGTCAAGCAAACATGGGGTTCTCACAAACTCATGTTTTGTTTTTTGAGCCTCTTACCAGTCGTGAGGTAGGGGCTGACGAACACAATCGCAGGCTGCCACCTCGAGTTGGCTTTCTACAAATTGGTAACGAACTGGTCGCAGAGTCAAGCCAACCGCCAATCCTTGAAACCTTAAATTGGATCCAACCCCCCCCCCTCTGCATCAGGATGCCGGATTGACAGCATTTTGGAAAAGAACTGGTGCTCATGTAGCCGCCCCTACGTCTATTCAAAAGGGGCCCGGAAAGATGTGTGAAAAAATCCAATCCTCTTGTGGTTTCCCTTTAGCTACATTAATGTGTTGCAATTTAGCAGCCACAACTGGTCGGCGCATGGAAACCTACCATTTGCTCCTTTGCTCATTGTGTGCCACGATAGATGTTTTGTGGCACACTTGAATACGCCTGCTCATGTGCAACCCGTCCCCATAAACCAGGGAGAAAGTCTATGTAGTGCCTGAAAATAGGGGCCCCTAAATGTGTGGTTTTCCACCTGAGTCCCTTGAATCTCTGCAAAAAAAAGGATACCTTGGAACTTTCACATATGTATATAGCCTATAGTGTTTTGGTTTTGTTTGTGGGGGGGGGGAACTACTTTTCACAATTGTCTAGTCTTGCCATTGCTCTTGTTGCTGTTTGTTTTTGTTTTTGAGGGTGTCTCTGAAACTATGTTCTTTCTAGTTTCTCTTTGGGGGGGTCTCTTGAAAAAATACTTACCGCAGTACCCTCTCTTGTTTCTTTCTCTCTTTTTTTTGGGGGGGGCATCATACTTGTCACAATGCCTCTCGCTGTTCTTGTTGCTATTTCTTGATTGTTGTTTCTTTTTTTGGGGGGGCTCTCTTGAAACCAGCGTCTAGAGTGCAAGTTTGAGGATGTCCCTTCCCCCCACGCAGTGGGAAAAAGCAAGCAGAACCGGCAAGTGCAGCCCAGGGGCATGTGGAACCACCATACCTGGATTGCACTGGCCCTTCAGATCAGCACTTTCGACGTCTACGTGCTCAGTCTAAGGGAAACCTGTTCTAGAATATCTGTGCCCCACACTCAGAGAAGTCAATGCATTCACCCATTACGCGATACCTCCGCTGCGCCCCATGCGTCTGGTTCCGTAGAACCAACCTGTAAAGCAACAGGCTGGAATGGCAGGCTACAGGTGCAAGAACTTTTCTCTTGCCAGTTGGTGCTAGTTGGCTGGGCATTCTTCGAAAACTTGGATGAGTATTGGTTCACTGCTCTTTGAGCACTCTTGAGTGCTGGCTTTCCAATCGCTCGTGCAGCCATTTGCTCAAGGCAACATAATCAAGCCAAAAGCGCATTGCCATGAACAGTAGCAAACAAAAAACGAAACTACAAAAGCAAGCAACCACCAACAGTGCAGTATATGAACAAACCATTTGCATCCCCTTTCACTCCGACAGAGACAAATTACGAAGTCACCAATTCAGCAATTTGCAATAAACACAAACACAGCCAACCGCTTTGCGTCGGAACTGGTTTACCCTCCGCAAGAAAGGATCCCAGCATCCAAGAACAAGATTGTCTTCGGAGAGGTTTGGCTGCATGCAAGGCTGTCCCAATCTGCAAGTGTTTTTTGAGTGCCCCTCGGGGTTCCTTGCTGCAAACTTCTCTCTGGGCCTTCAAAAAGCCGGGCCACCGAAACCTCGCTTTTCGACTTTTTGGGTGACCTGACCGACCAACCCCCGGCCAAGCGGCTGAAAATACCCGAAGCAATCCCCTTTCTCGAAGTGGGCGCCGGCCTGCGCCGGAAAAGGGGTCGGGGGAAGAAAAAAAAGAGGTAGCTACTTCGGATTTGCTTGAGTTCCCTTTAAACAAAATATATGTCCACTGATTATTTCCTTTTTTGAAACTAAACCATGCGAGAAAAGAAACACATATTAAGACATGGAGGGCTGAGCTGGCTCCAGGAACCTGATCTATCACCAAGGGCTCCATGACCATCACCTGCGGCCTGGGCGTCCTTGCGGGTGCCTTACCTAGGTCAAACCCACTTCGTGGCTTGCCCCCAACCAGAGTCGAACAAAGTTTGCTCGGTTGCGAACTCTGCTCCCCTGCAAAAAGTTCAACTTTTAGCGGTTTAATGCGGAAAACCGATTAGTTGGCAAAAAGTTAAAGTCCTAACATCCCTTGGCAACACGCACCAAAGATTGGTCGTTTACCACCATGGTCCAAACCACCACGTTCCAAATCCAAAAAGTGAAATGCGAGCGGACGGTTTTCCAGACACGTCTCAGTCCTTGACCTGCCTGCGGTTCCTTGCAGCACTCCGCCCGGCTGACCAGGAAAAAAGGGGGAAAAAGGGGCACCTAAGTGAGGGGCCCATTTGACGTGTCCCCTAAACTGGATAAGATTGAAATGAGTAAGCCCACCTGGTTGAGAAGCTTCTGGCTGGGCCCTGCTCTCCAAACCCTGCGAGAAAAAAAGGGCATTTCGCCAAGAACTCAAATAGGTCAGCCCCCTTTTGTCTAATTGCTGAGGAAGCAGGGCTTCCGAATGGTTCGTCCCTATTTGCAATCCGCCCCATTGGGAGGCCAAGAGCTCCCCTTTCCCTGCAATACTTTTTATGGGATGGCAAAAACCACCAAGGAAACCTTGCAATCTGTGGATCTGCGGAAAGAAAGAGAGTGTCTTTTGTGGTCTCTCCTTAAACAACCCCAACATGTGGTCCACAGAAACAGCCCCCCGCACCCCCAAAAACGCCTCCCCCGCCTCCGCCAACAGCTCGACGGAGCCGATCAGTGTAGCCCCCACCGCCGCAAAGGCGACTTGGCCGAAGCTGGGATGCTTCAGCGTGGTGACCTGAGAAACGCCCGCCCCATCCCGCCCTTCACTGGCCTTGGCTTTTCTCGGTTGCGAAATCTGCTCCCCCGTGACTCACTTTTGGTGGTTTAATACGGAAAAACCCATTGGTGGGCAACAAGTTAAAGTCCTAACATCATCTCACATCCAAGCACAATGCACCAAAGTGGTTCTGCACCACTAAAACGGGCTTGCGGAAATGGAGAGAGTCCATAAACTTGGGGAGGATAGTTTTCTTCAAGAGCATGGGTGCACTTGGGCGAAAGTGGAGGGCAGAAACGAAAACCAGATTCAGGCTGAACCATTGGAACTCCAGGTTTAATCTGCGGTCGCGAGAGGCCCGTACCAAACTCTACTCGGGCTTAAGGATTCGAAAGCCTGCCGAACACGGGATTTCTTGTAAAACCTTCTTGCACCGCCCACTGGGTGCTATATAGCACACAAGTTCTCATTTCCCTTACATTAAGGAAACCAACAGGGGATGAATGTTTTTCCTGCAGTTTCCAGACCCACTACCCCATTGACCATTTTACCTGACAAAAACTGGCTGATCTTTTGTTCCCGGTGCCCACCTTTTCGCCGGGCCCAAGCACGCCTCCAAGAAAAAGGGGCAAACAGTGACCATAATTATCTAGCACATGGGAAAAGCAGGCTTGGGGGATGCTGGGATGGTGCCCCACTTCCTGAGATAGGCCACAAGTCTACAAGTACAGCTTGGCAGCTTTAGCCTGAATATCGCAACATTTCAGTCCAATCGCAATTCACGAGATACACTTTGGCGACTCCTGATTGAAAGCAGCAACTTGTTCACCACAAGAGCAGTACTGAAAGTACACCTTGGCAGCTGCAAACTGAATTACACGTATTCTCTTCGCCCCAAAATCTTGATGTTTACACCTTCGAGGTAAACGCAGAAACGCAGCCCCAACCATTCGCAAGGTGGGGATGTCTGGGCGACCGGGAGAATGCTCAAGTGCTCCCCAAACACGAAACCTCTATTTGCTTTTTCGTCCACTGGAACTTGTAAAAAACATGTCCAAGAGGGCAATATAACCCATATCCAGGGTCCATTTCAGCAAATGGAAGAAAAGGCTGTCGCGTTCCAAGCCCCTTAAAGCCTCCTGGTTCCCTTTGAACCTCGGCAAAAAGGGTACCCACAAAAAACTAAACCCAAAGTCAAACCAAGGGTCTACTCTGCAGTTCTCAGTGAGCACGTCCACCTTGCGATGGTTGATTGCTATGGGGTTCACCGAGTAGTACTCCCCGGGCATGTTGATCTGTTGCAACACCTGCCGAGGCAAATCCGAGCTTCCGCTGATCCGCATCCAGCGACCGGGGGCGGGGGTCCTTGTTTTCGTGCAAGCCCATATTTCGGGGCGTTGAAGTGCAAGCCCATAGTTTCGTAGTTTGAGGTTTGAAGCTTGAAGGAAACTGCAAGTGAATCAACCGATGTGGGCCGGGAGGCATCTTGACTTGGTGACAGCAAATTCGCGCCATCGGCGCACTGCAAATGGGGTGGTGTCAAGTAGGGGAACCTCCCAAATCGGTGGTGTCCTTTTGGCTTCTCTTTAAGACATTTTCCCAAAAAGGGTAATTACCCTTTAAAATCTGTGCGACTGAAAAAGCCTCCTTCTCATCTACTCTCGACACGAACTGCAAACGTTCAACCAAGGGTCAATTTGGGGTGACCTCACCATCGGGAACCTTTCTGATTTTGCTTCATATGTGCAGTCTCTGCTGCATGAAAGAGCTTTGGAGGTTCACATCCCCAACCCACCTATTGAGGGTTTCGGTAGCAAAGTCACGTCGCGGCCTTGCCAGGGCCACAGGGGAAGTGAAATCGATGGTAGTCCTGCGCTGGGGCAGCGTCAAGGTAGATATACACACGACAGACAGACAAACAAACAGACAAACGGACGGACGGACAAACAGGCAGACAGCCACACACACACACACCACACACACACACCACACACCACACCAAAGAACACACCAAAGAACACACCAAAGAACACACCAAAGAACACACCAAAGAACACACCACACACCACACACCACACACCACACACCACACACCACACACCACACACCACACACCACACATCACACATCACACATCACACATCACACATCACACATCACACATCACACATCACACATCACACCATGAACTGAATGGGTCTGCCTCAGAGTAGGACCTTCTTATCTCTTGTCTGGCTGGATTGAAACGTCGACCACAACAACACCAGGCATTGGGGGGTCAGCCAGGGCAACCATGACGTTCACCCCTCGGGCAAATCAAATTGCGTTCCTGGCAACTGACAGAAAGTGGCTCTGAAACATGCTCAAACCACTTTTTTCCACAATGCCTTTCTTTCGCAGCACTGGCCACATGAGTTTACTATCAAAGCTTCAACCCTGCAACTGGGAGGCGACAGGGAAACAAGGCTATTGTCCAACCTCAGAAACACTCAAAGCATACTGAATCTTCCTGAGTGGAATGGTCACAAAAAAGATCCAAGCTTCTGATCTTACCACTAAACTTGGCTGGAATTAGGACCCCAGCAAAAAACATGTTTTGCCTGGTTAGTGGAAAACAAAGGAAACCCCAAAAAAGCAAAAAAGCAAAAAGGGGAGCTAATTCTGGTGAAGTGAAATGGTCAAACATGTCTGAAGCCCCGGAACTCGGGAGGCGAGCTCCTGGGTAGCCAGGCGGAAAATCACCACAGAGCAGCCTGCGGAAAGTCGGGGAGCCGGAAATATGGACGCAAAAACTGGAAGGTGAACGGCGACCGACTTGGAAGGACAAAATGTGACTTGTCACCCTTTGCCAAACAACCCAAAAACAACTTGTAGCACTACACTGGCACTAAAATGAACTGCAGCCAGGAAATTGAGAAGTCGCATTTGGACCCCCCAAAAACACACCGCTGGATTTTTCCCCCCCCCTTCCCCATCTCCCCATGGTTTCATCCTAGAGTGCCTCAACAAAAACGCCGTTAGGGTCTTGTTTGGCGAAACAGGTGTTGGGGTCTCTAAACCAAAACTGGATGGCGAAACGCTGGAGTTGTTCTGCACATTTGCGAAAGTGCACAACCATTCCACACTCTTGTTGTGTTCTCTCTCTCTCTCTCTATCTCTCTCAAGATCAGCTAAGTACGTTGTGTCGTGCTTATAAGTGCTTTTCAGCAAGCCTTCCGGTAGTTTTAAACTTCTTTTGGTCTACTTCAAATTGCAAAAGGGAAATATCTGCCAGCAGGTTGCAAAGAGGTGGCTGAGGTTGCTGGCTAAACTAGAGGCGCTAATGGCGAGACAGATTCGGGGGCACGCCGAACAAACGCCACGATGTAGGTCCTTCACTTCGGGCTGTGTTATTCATTTTTTCAGGTAGAGCTCACATCAACCAGAAGTGGTTTGTCGGTTGACTCTTCCAAGCAATGCACACGGCCCACGGCTTGCTGCGGATTTGGGTTTCATTGGTGTCGTATGGTTCGGCCAGTGGCTTTGATTATCAAAAGTGGTTACACGAGTCTGACCTTTTTCGGGGACCATCTTTGGAGTGGTTTCAATTGGAGATCAAAAGGACACCTTATATATATATATATATATATATGTGTGTATATATATATATATATTAATATATGTTGCATATTGGTGTGGGGGCAGGTGCCCTATTTTACGACCAACCCACATGAAATCCCACGTTTGATATGTGCGCCATGTCCGGTTCCTACCACTAGATAAATCCGCAGCGTTCAGGTGGACCGGTTGAAACTCCATCTCCCGAGCTGACCGGAACCGTCCGCCTTTCAGGAAGGGCGGCGCTGCTGCTCCCAGCAGTTCCGTGAGGGAGAACTTGGAGCCCTGGAACAGTTGCCCCGGATAACCAGAAATGACAGGTGATCATCAAGAGGGGGCCACGAAAAACCGAAAGGAAAAAAGAAGAAGAGGAAAACCAAAGGTTGCGTCAGGTCGACTCGCTGGCAACTGAGCTCCAACACTGGGTGTCTGTTTGGAGGCGTGCACCAACAATTTGTTGGGTGCCCTACTGTAAGACACACCACATACCCGCTTTCGAAATCAAGGCTTTCCTCCAGCCGAATCTTCTGCTTGCTCAGGCTTGTGTTCTGTCCCAACACCCATGAAAACAAGCTTCTAAACAGAAGAGTGCGTGAAGAGAATGTGCGTCGACCCGTGAATTTCCAACAAACAAAACTGCTCTAGCAAGGGACCAACGCACCCAAGGCAAAAGTAGTTGGTTTGAGTTGGGGTTGAGTCCCTTGGTTTTGGTGGTAAGTTTTACTGAGTCCCCATCAGTGTGACTCGCAGACATGTCTGTCTCAACATAGGGGTGGGCAAAAAGGCTTCCAAGTCGTTTTCGGGTTCCCCTTTTGAACCCAAGCGGAAAAAATAAACACAAAAAAAAAAAACACGGTACCCTCCCTCCAACCACCCCAACCGCGCCAAAGACCAAACATGTCCAACACGCCTTTGTCCTCGCCCTTGCGCCAGGTCTTGGGGCTTTCCCAGGCCCTCTCGGCCCAACCCAGGACCCAGGCGCCTTGATCCACAGTCGGGTTGCTTCCTCCAAGCTCGGGAAAATGATGACCCGGCAGTCCGCGCAGCTGACAAAAACCCCAGGCTCCTGACTCGAGCCGATCCCAGGAATTCATTTGGCTCGTGGAGTCGTGGAACTCCCAAAAAATTGTACCCCCCTTGACATTTCGGGGTCGGAACTCCCCATTTAGGCGGAAATTTCGGGGATCAATGTGTGACACGGGTGTGTCTCTCTTTCGGAGACCCCGAAGAAGTTGGAGGTTGTCCTCTTGTTTTCGCCTTTTGAGACCAACAAAATAGGTACCCATGGTACCCTTTAAAACAGACACACCCACATGAGACTCTGCAAATGATGCAGATGGGCGGTTTGAAGATGAGGGGTGGCTTCCAAGCCAAAGTCCCCCAAACCGCCAAATGTAAACCACCAATAAATCGGCCATGAAGGCAAATCTGGCATTCACCTTCGATCACTTGCGATGGGGATCCCACACAACCCGCCCTCTGGAAAACGAAAAACAAGCGGCAAAAAAGTGAGAAATGCAACGCCTCAGATAAATGTGCTAGCGTCTGAAGGGGGGGGGGGTCTGGAAAAAACAGTGGGGAATGGCCAGAACTTTCTACCCCTAACATGTTCCAAGCAAGTTCTTGGAGTGCAGGGGCCTGGGCTGAGATAGGTTGCCAAAGAAGGCCTTTCAGGAACAGCAAGCGTGGGCGACTGAGTCGGGGCTTCGAGGCGTTTTCGCCTCGATGGCCCAGTCCTGAGGACTGGCAATCGGACGAGCTTCCGGTTTCAGCTCGCGGGTAAAGAAGTCCTGACCGAGCTGGCGAATGAACCCTACTCCAACAGGGATCCTTAAATGGTGGTTTCCTTTTCATCTTGGTGGAAGAAGCCATGTTTCAAATGGTCGCAACATGTTTGATCTTTTAAGGAAAACCTGTCCAAGTGGAGGTATGCCGACATCCAATCACCAAAGCCTGGGAACGCGCTTAAGAAAATGCGGGGGCTGCCCCTGGTTTCCCCACATGTCGAAGGGTGTCTAGGGCAACAGCTAGCCCAAAAACATGCCAGGGCAGCCCGCAAAACATCAGGACTTCCAGAAGCCGGAAATCCGGAATCCCCGAGCTCGCAATCTGAATTATGGGTGAGCTCCCTTTACCCGAGCAAGCTCTTCAAGCCTGGAACACTGCAGCGCCCAAGAGTGACCGTCCCTCTATAGCAGGCACAGAAGGCTTTTTAATACGAACACTTCAATGGTGCGCCAGGTCTCCCAACGCAAGCTACCTTCAAGCCACCTCACTCATAAACCCAGCCAGTCCTGCTGGTGGGACCTGAAACATGTAATAATTGCACTCTCAGCATGTTGAATTCGGATCAACCTGGAGGACTTCAAACATTTTGGTCCCTAAGCAAGTTTTCTTATAACCTTCCAGGGTGGGGCATGTCTGCTTGGGGATTAATAGTGAAGCACTAAAAACACAACACACACAATATCAAACAATGCACAAAACCCTTCACAACGACAACATATACAAGATGACAATCATATGTGCATAGATACCAAAGAAAGAAAACAACAAGGGGGGAAACACAAACAAAAAAAACAGAACACAACCAACACCGCACTCACATGAACCCTGGATCCTGGAACCATGCTCGGCATGGATTTGCAGCTAGGGGGCGTTCATCGACCTGAACTCGCTGACAGGAAGCAGCACCTGCCCAAAAGACCGCCGCAATTCAGGCCCTCAGGGCTGGACCATTGAGGCAGCCGTTTTTTTTTGCTTTCCTGGGGGAGGGAGGGGGGCAGTTTGGGCTCTAACAAATGCATTCCTGCCATTTGCTTAAGCCCCCTGGAACAAATATATATATATATATATATGTATATTTCCAGTAGTGATAGACTCCCTTTAAAACCAACAGGGGAAAATAAACAAATATTCTTAAGCAAATGGAAGACTCTAGGACGCGTACATGTTTGTCCTGTGTAACCCATTCCTTCATTGGCACCCGAGTCTTGGGTTCGTCCAGGTATCCCATGCTGGGCTCCCTGAGGCTTGGCGGACGCCTGGATAGCCACCTCAAACACATGGAATCTGACCGCGTTTGGTCATCCTGTGGTGTGGCGGTCAGCCCTAGGCTCCAGCCCTGACATTATATGGGGGTTGTACAAAATTACTTTGCCTGGGAACCTCCCAATCGCCGGCCAACCGCGGTCCAATCGCGGTCCCACAGTTCCCAGTCGCGGAGCAACATTGGGCATAGCCGCCTTCTTTTTCGCTTCTGCAACTTGCTCGACCCTATGAGTCCACATAAACTGATGTGGTAGAAGTGCTGCTCGAGGAACTGGACTCATTGCTGTCTGAAGCAAAGTCTTTCATGTGGCTCCATTTTTCCCTCCGCCTCAGCAACTTGTTGGCCACCATAAACCTGCTTCAGAGTCGTGGCTCGCTGTCTTCGGGGGCGGTCACCGAGTCACCAACAAGTCAACCTTTCACCGGAACAAGAAAGAAGTGACAAGAAGGAAGCGGCAGAGCCCGGATGGGCAGGGGCTCACTGGCGGAATTCGTCCAATCGCGGTCCAATCGCGGTCCAATCGCCGTCCAATCACGGAATTCGTCGGCGAAACTTCGGTTTGCAGCTTCCATCTAGCCCTTGCTAGCAATCAGGCTTGGAAAGCACTGTCTGGGCCTGCCAGACAAAGTCAACATCCAGGGTTCTAGAGGGAACTTTCGGGCAAGCCTGCGCAGTCAAAATCAGCGACATGCGTCGGGATGTTTCAGAAAGGATGTTTCAGACCTGTTTCAGACCTGTTTCAGACCTGTTTCAGACCTGTTTCAGACCTGTTTCAGACCTGTTTCAGACCTGTTTCAGACCCTAAGGCCCTAGGGTGAGCAAAACAATCGATCAACCCTAAAGCAATGACGTCTCGTTTTCCAGCAAGCAACAAAAAAAGTAGAAACAAAGCAGCCCCGGTAGTAAGGTACCGCTACTACAACGCCAGCGGTTGTAGCAGTAATAGCAATCCCCAAGAAAAGATGACACTCATCCTGCTGTGGCGGTCCAATAGCCCTGGATGCAGCGCGGTAGCAAGTCAAACGAACACTTTGAGACATGATAGAAAAATACAACGCAGGCCGAAGCCATCGCAAAACCCCATCTAGGGAAGGAGCGGCGCAAGCAACAACACAACTGGGATGCTTCAGAGATGTTGTATCTTTTTGCGGGCAGCGCCCGTGAGAAGGTAGAAGCGTGAAATAGGCACTACGCGAATTCTACGCGGCCGCGGGTTCCGCGCGCGCGGGTTCCGCGTGCGCGGGTTCCGCGTGCGCGGGTTCCGCGCGCGCGGGTTCCGCGTCTGTGGGTTCCGCGCGCTCGGGTTCCGCGCGCGAGCGGTCCGCACTCGCGCGTGCGTTTTGCATGCTACTTGGCTTACCACAACAGAATACTCAAGCTGCACCCGGCAACTGCTGCTTACTAAGTCATTACCACAAATTCGTGGCAATAATGAAAATACTAGCAAAACCAGACATGCTGGTAGGATTCCTGGCAATTTAAGCTATTATACTAGACAAATGGCGGTAGCCGTGATAGTAGTAGAAGTAGTACCAGTAGTGGTGGTAGTAGTGGTAGCAGAAGAAGTAGCAGCAGCGGTAGCGGCAGCAGTAGCAGTAGCGGAAGTAATAAGAATAGTAGTATCAGTACTAGTAGTAGTAGTAGTAGTAGTAGTAGTAGTAGTAGTAGTAGTAGTAGTAGTACTAGTAGTAGTCGTAGTAGTAGTAGTCGTAGTAGTAGTAGTAGTAGTAGATGCTAAGCAACTTCCAAATTCATGATTCGTTTCCCTTTCGCGCTCCAATCGCCGGCCAACCGCGGCTCGAGTTTTCCCAATCGCGCGACTCAACAAGTTACCTCTCTTCATAAGTTTTAGACACGCAATTACGGACGGCCCCCATATACAAGAGTCAGCTGCCATCCTTGGGACAGGGAGTCTTTGGACATCTTGAAAACTGCTGATGCCCCTCCGCACCTCGTCCATGTTAATGCGGTAAATGTCGATAAACTTTTGAATGTCCTGCACGCGAAAGGTCGCGCTAGCGATCTGTCGCTCTAAACATCCCAATGCTCAAGCTCAATATGCTGACTGGATTGGCCAAAGTAGGCCGAGCCCGTGAGAGTATGAGAGTGAGGCCGTGAGGCCAGGTCTTTTCCAACTAAGTCCAAAAATTAGGAAGTGAGATAAACAGGGATCCTTAGATTATACACCTGAACATTGCCTTGTAAATGGTGGTGTCCCCTTATTTTGGTGGAAAAAGCCATGTTTTCAAATGGTTGCAACATGAATTTCTTTTTTTCGGAGCCTGATGAATCAATGAAGAATCTGCCAACCCTTTGCGTTTTCGGGTTGGAATGTGCTTCACCCGCATCCAGACTCGGGCACGGCAGCTAACAGCCAATGAGGTAATACGCTCTCATGCACAAAAAAACATTTGAAGATGTCCGTCCCAAATATGCAAGCTGCGCATGAACGGATCCGAGAAAAGCCGGGGTTTAAAACCCGCCAACGGGACCGCCGCCTGTTGCCTTGATTCGGTCCTTCTGAGTGGAGGCGGAGCGCATTTTCCGACCTGCATGTTGGGTCAACCTGGCAGGCAGCCCAAGGGGTTGCTGGAAGACCATAATTTCCACACATAATTCCAAGATAAACACTTTCCCCTGTCAAGGACCTTCTGGTGGCTGAATTTAAGTGGCGAAGGTGGCGACTGGAGAACTAGCAGCCTGGAAATACATCAGCACTATAGGCGTTGTTATTGGAGGCCAGCATCAAGTGGGACACAACCAAAACCAAAAGATCTAGAACTTCCCAACAAGAGTGAATCGATCCTCTCTGTGCGATCCTTGGCCACGTGTCCAAATCGACCTTTGCCGGCCTTCGCAAACAACATCTCAGCGGGTGTGCTGGTACCACACCGCAGGCTGCCGTGGTATACCTGCGTTCGAACGCTTCACCCAGATCCGGTGAACTTTCCTTGAGGAAACAAGGGAGGTGCCGTTTAAAGGAAATCCCTCAAAAAACGGAGTCTGGAAGCAACCCCACTGGGTGTCTGGGTTACAATACCTTGATTAAGATGGAAACCGAAGAGCGGGTTGTCTTGTCCATATTGCTTTGTAGGTTGCAAAAGGGGTCTGGCTTTGGAATCCTCAGGTGGGAACGCATCACATGTTTGTCAACCATTTGTTGAAAGGAATCCTTCAGTCGACATAAGATCACAAAAGCAGTTTGTACTGAGTTCGCGCAAACCCTTTTGGAACCCTATGATGTAAGTGAAGGCGTTTCTGACGCCTTCCAAGGTTCCGGAGTAGACTTGAAGTTGAAGCCTCCAGCTTTCAGACGTGTTTGCGACATATCCTTCCTCCCACGAACACGGCACCTGTGGGAGTTTCCTCTTGGAATGTTCCCCTGTCAGCTGTTATGTTAGTGGAGAGTATATCGTCTTATAACACCAAACAAGTGTTTGTGTGTTGCGAGTGTTGGGGTACGACTTAAAGGTTCGACTCAACCCCACAACCCCAGCGCTTCGTCCAAAACTCACCAAACAATGCAAAAGCGGCGTGTCGGGGACCCCCCCAAAAAAAAGGAGCGAACAATAGCGCTTCGGTTGTCTTGTTGGTGCCTTAAAATCACAAACTGCCCTGAAAAATAGACGCCCATGTGAACAGAACGATAATGTTTTGAAAGAAGACAAGCTGGCTAGCAAAACACCCATGCAAACTGCCAACCAGAGGTGAACAAAGCAATGCTTCGCAGCGCTTCAAAAAGCAATACAAACCCCAACAGCTACATACAAAATAATGATGCTGTCCAAAAGGATTTGGGCCCCACTAAATGTGTGGGGTGGCCTTGCTGCAAGGGGGCAAAAGTAAACCGAAGAGAACCCATGAGGACACCAACACACAGCCAAAAACAATGAGAACATTTCGTCTAAACTCCATCTCCGGGTGGCCATGGTTGCCGAACACTGTTAATTGAAGAGGGTCCCTAAAAGGATACAGGCCGGGGCCGGCGAAAAACCCAAGCCTCCACTGGCTTTGGAACCAAATTCTTGTACAGAAGGTTGTTGGACCCTGTGCAAGGGTATCCGCAACTTCGGAGACTTGCCTCTCGATCTAAAACGGGTCCCCAGCGCTCAGCCCCATCCGACCCGGCCCTTTGCAACAATGTAACAGGGTTCTTGCCACCTGAACGTTGTTCCAAAGGTGTGGTTTCCTCGGGTGGGAAAGGGTACGTGCGTAAAATTGCGAACTTGGACGCGCTTCTCCAAAAGACCAAGTAGAAACAAACTAACATGCTGGAACCTTCACTAAACATGGATCAAAACCGCAACCACAAGGTCATTTCAGGGGGGCTTTGGGGAAGAGAGTGCAAGGAGCCCATGACTTCCTTATCACTTTAAAGGGAATTACCCTGCCATCATTGGTTCTTCGCAGACATGGGCCGGCTTCTGAAACCTCAGCCTCCCTCAATGGGGTGGCTTGGATTGATGATTTGCTGGTTAGGGGCTCGCGGCGATTCCAAGGTACTGTGCATGGACGAAATCCGTTTGTCAAAAGACGATTTTCCGTATAAATACCAACCACAAATAGCTTTTTCCATGGTTTCTTAGGTGGTGCGAACGGATTGCGCAGCCCTCCACAGTAGGATTCATCGAGGCGCAATCCCTTCAGAAGTGCCCACACAGGGTCCGGGATGATCTCTACGAAGGCTTTGCCCGTCTTTCGGTCCAGGACCTCAAACGTCGCATACATGTTGGAGGTAAACCAACCATACGACAAATCACAAAAACTTGGCAAATTTCGGTAAAAATTGGAGGATGTCCTTTTTCCCCTGGCATTTTTTAGGGCATCCACCGTGGCACGGTCTAAGTGGCCGTGCTAATTCACCACATGGGGAAATTGCAGGGCTCCCAATTTCCCCTTAAGAAAGAAAATAAAACAAATCAACCAAAGGAAACTCGAGCAACAACTTTGCCTAAAATGTGATTTTTAGAAACACCAAAAAGTGCGTTTTTTTCTTCACGGCCCCAGGTTCGCTAGCCCCCCACCCCCCCAATCGTATCCCAGCATCCCGCGGGCCCAACATCCCCGCACATCCCCAGCATCCCCGGTGGGCTAACCCGAGTCTACACCCTTCAACAAACTCCAAACCCTGCTCACTCTAAACTAAGCAACCCTCAACCAACCCTTAACCAACGCACAAAATTGTCAGTGCCAACTAGTTTCGGGGGAAGCGTGACGTAATCATGTAAATAGAAGCAGTTCGTCCACTGGAAGCGAGGGCCTTAAACCCATGTGTCCTTGATTGGGGGACCTGCCGCCCAGCGCAAAACAACAGAAAACAGAAATTGTGGTTTTCAGCATAGTTTCCCCAAAAAAAGGGTGAGAAAGGGCACTACTGGGGGACCTAGTTATTTGGACAAACGAGCAAGCGAGGATACGGAGGGAGCGGGGAGATGGGGGGATTGCCTTGGCGCCATTTCCCATATCAAACTTGATCAAGGTGCAAAAAGGGAGTGCCCTGAGAATAAGTCACACCCATATCGCTATGAAGATTCTGATATTGACCCCGGACTAATAAATCCTGTTAATATGGGGGTGTTCCGCTTCAAAAGTGATAAATCCTCACTAAAACCAGGACACCCCCATAAAAAAGGGGTTCATTAATCCGGGGTCAACAGTACCAAAATGGCCAAAGGACTTTTGGGCGCCTCTCACCTGGGAATCTGGGTTTGTATTGAAAAAGTGCTGCTTGCGCAACAAACTGCTTAACCTCCCACCAGCTAACATGGGTTTGTGCACAGACCCCTGTAGAAAGATGACTTTCCTCTTGGTTGGCTGGCCTTCTTGCACTTTCATGTTAGTTGGTGAGAGGGTAGCTTGTTAGTGAGAAAAAACACACACGTTCAACCGACAAGTTGTCCAGGTGAAAGATCCAAACAAATGGCAGCCAATAAATTTGCGAGGGTCCCATGCATTGCTTTCTGAACATGCTGTCTGAAAATCGGGTTGGCACCCTTGGAGAAGCCAAGCAAACCCTACTTCCCCTGTGGCTTTAACATCGCCTTTTGGTTGCCATTATCACGTTTCAATTAGGCGGGGTGCCATTTAAACTCACTTCCTGAGTGGATTGGCAAAACAAAGTAACCACACCGTTTGGTTGCCACTAAAATGGTCCCAACTTCCCAAAAGCATAAAGTCCAGCAACTCAGGAGTCTAGGGGTTGACTCCCCATATGTCAACCATCGCTCTTTTCCCAAGCGGTTAGCTGGTTTCCTGATCCAAACAGCCTCTCGAACGAGATGGGCCAATGACAGTTTCCTCCCCATATTTCCCCTTAAAGCATCACCCCCAAGGGACAATCGCCTTTCATGGGCCCAAAAGGTCCTGTTTGAACCCCCCCCCCGCCAACCAAAAAAAAAGAGGAAACAGCTCGGAAAAAGGTCTTGTTTGGAAAACCCCCCAGAAACACAATTAACTCGGACAAAGGTCCTGTTTGGAAAACCCCCCACAACAACAGCAAATCACTCGGACAAAGGCCACGTTTGGAAACCCAATCAAAAACAAGGGGAACCAACTCGGGTCCCCTGTTTGGAGGGGGGGTTCGGCACTCGAAAACATCTCGAAAACGGCGTTTCCCCCCCGCCGGTTCCCGAGGCTCCGGGCGCGCCGGGTACATCGGAACGGCTCCACCACGGGCACGGCGCCAGTTTCCTCGGGAGGCGAAAACGAGAAGATCCTGGGAGCGAGTGCCCTGAAACGTCCATTTAATGTCAAGGCCCCGGGGAAAAATGAAAATAGTTCCAGCAGTGATGAGTTCCTTTTCAAAACCAACAAGGGAAGATAAACATATATAGTATTAGAGGGAAAAAATAACAAGGGGAAAAAATAAAAAAAAAAAAAAATTATTAAGCAAGTGGAGGTAAAGCCCCTTGGTGTAGCATGAGACCTTTTCCATTGCCTCCACCGCTTTTGGGCTGCAGTTGGCGTGCCAGGCTGATTTCCTCTTCGAACGCTTTTGGAGACACAAGTTTGCTACGGGGGCAAAGGGGGCTACTGTCCTGGCATGCCGTCAGTGGAACTGAGTGCTTTCGCTACCCAACCGATTGCATGTCAGTCTTGGGAGTTGAAGTCGATGGCGGGCTCACCATTGAAATTTATTGGCAATGGCTTGTGCCAGGTTAAGGAATCGCAGGCAATGCTTTCCACAATGCGGGATAGTGCCCTGAAACTTGTTTGGCAGGTTGAGCAACTTCACTGCAGGGTTGAAACATCTGCGCTTTACGCAGCTGCCGCTGTAGCGCGCCATTCGCATGGCTGGGCTGCAGTTGCAAAGCGCCTCAATCATGCACAATATGTGGTTTGCAAGGATATTTTGGGCTGCCCAGGGGCGTCCCTTGCGGAAGGGGGGCAAAGCCGCAATGCATAAATTGGGCATGAAATGGCGGCTCAGCACCCGCGTTGCCATGGAAATCATTCTTACCTGAGCACGCGCTTTGTGCCTAAAGAGTCACCACCTGGCCTGTCTTCCTTTTCAAGCCGCAGTTCTCCACAAAGGTTCTTGGATGACTCATGCTCAACAGGTAGCAGAAACCTTGGGGGTAACGCGTGATTTTTGCGAGCATAGGGAGTCCATGCGTTTGCTGGAACTTGCTCAGAGCGATGCTGCGAGACGGGCCGTTCGGGAGTGGCGAAACCCTGTTCTGCCGCAACTTGCACGAGTGGAGAAGGAATGGTTTCAGACTCCAGCGAGCAAATGGAGCAGGCACTGCTTTAGCCTACCATGGGACGCTCGACCTCAATTCCTTCGTTTCCTGCAATCCTTGTGCCTTTCGAAGAGCCAATGGGCAGCTTGTGCGGATCTGGATTGTCCTTCTGACTGGGTGCTTCCCTTCTGTTTTTTTTTGGCCATTCCCAGCAGCTATTTGCAACTTTGGAAGCTTGCCCGTGCAGCGTTGCAGATGTGGATGTGCACCATGTTTTGTCTGAATGTCAAGGTTTGCAACTCTTGCTTGCGCCCCCATGTCTAAGGTCCAGGGCTCTTGGAGCAAAGGTGACATGGGGTTGATTCCTGGTCCATTCTTTGCAACCATCGTTCTTTTCAAAAACCGGATCTGTTTCTTCTGGGTTTTGATGGTTTCCTGAAAAGAAGGATCCCTGGAAAGAATGGGGAAGGTCTAGAACCTTGTTGTTTGGCAGTCCCTACTCTTTTTCAGCAGAAACAAATCAATCACATGCTGTGACCTGGGTGTGTCCTTTTATCTCACTTCTTGAGTGGATTGGGCAAGTCGAAACTTTTGTTTACCACTAACATTGTCTTCCCAAAAAGTCAGAAACTCATGGGAAGTGTCCTTTTGTAGGGGGACCCTCTCTAAATTGTGGGGTTGTCTGTGGTTTCCTTGTAAATCAGCAAAAAAAAAACGCAAAAAGGGGTACCCTCCAAAAAGTCATGCGCACCTGGAACATACGGCTCATGAAAAGGATGGATCAACATCTGCACAGGTTCAAACTCCGAAAGCTGCACGAATGGACGCCGAAGTGAAGAACCTATATCATGGAGGGTCTACTTCACATACAAACGACTCGCAGGGATTCATGCGAGCTCGACAAAGATGCACAGCTTCACCCTAGAAGGCCTTGGCGCAGTCTTTGACTACTTGACAGCCGTGGTGCAGCTAAGCGGCAATTTTCGAAGCTTCAAGCTGACATGTTTTCTTTGACGCACGGCAGCCCATGACATACAAACAAACAACAAGCTCACTGCTGGTGGTGGTCTGCGTGGCTTGTAGGTGAAACAAATGGCTAAGCCTAAGAGAATACAGGAAAAAGGGCAGGCTTCAAATGCACACCAAACTCATCCAAGTGATTGTGGGCCTGTCGATATGGATGGGGCACGTTCCCGAGCCAAACCTGCGACGAAAATTCTGCGACCAGTGACCAGTGAGGAACCAATGGGGGCAATCCCGTCCCAGCGGGAATCGAACCTCATCCATTGGTGACTCACTAAGCTACTCAGTAACACGGGGGAACATAGTTCAAGATTGCAGCCGTAGCCATCAAAGGCATTTCCAAATATACAAAATTATGAGTGTTGGAGGTATGTACGTTTGTATGCCACCAATAGTGAGCTTGCAATGCACATGCGCTGTGTACCCCTTACATGAGTGGTAGATGACCCGCACACGTGCCCGCAAAAGCCCCGACAGGTCATGCCCACTTTGCCCACAGCCTAAGGCAGCCCCACCCTGACAACCCTAACCCAAATTTGAACCAAAGTGCTGAAACCATTTGTGTCTTTGAAGTTCCAGTCCTACCCACCAACAACCCTAAAACCGTGAAACCCACTCCCGACGGCACACCCTGGATGCAGCACGGAAAACCCAGACTAAACCTTGCAAGTGAGTAAGCCAACCGCACACCACGGAACCTGGTCCGTCTCATTGGACCCGTCTCAAAGCGGACTAAGGCTGGTCGACTAGCTTTGGGCAAGTGAGCAACACCCCCTTAATCAAAACCCCAGACCCCCACTCTAAACACGCCTTAAACCACCTGCCCACCCAACATCCAGCCAACCAGAGTTAAACCCGTCCATCCTTCGGACGTAGATCCATGTCTCCGTTCCCATGTAAAAAGTTAAACTGCTCCTACCTCCAACCCCCACCCCTCAAACACACCTCCGGTTCTGGTCTAGGTCAGTCCCCCCAATAACTGTGCTTCGGTGGTGGTGTGGGGAGTCCAAAACGGCCGGCGCTTGAGATCAGGCCGAGTCTCTTCGTTTAGGACCTACCAATCTCCTAAAGATCCAAGCAGGTCAAAGGCTTAGATACGAGGTCCATCTTCTAAAGTTACTCAGCGAGTTTGGCATGTTTGGCCACTAGGCCTGGGGTGGCAAGCGGAAATGATGCCGACGGCATCCAAAGCCCTTGCTTGAGAGGGTCTTGGGGTGGTTGCGTCCCATCGTCCGACTCAGACTCAGACCTTTCTCAGGCGACTCTGCGAGTTACAAAGCCAGAGTGAAACTCGCGATCAGCCACTTTGGCCCTGATCGCGGAACGTGCTAAACGGTGCCAATCGTGCCATACGCGACAGTCATCACAGTCCCATGCTAAAACCGTTGCGTAAACAGCCATCCTATCTTGCGCAAACGGACAACAGCTTGCGGATTCTGCGGATGTAGTGACCCTGAGTTCCATGTGTCGAACACCTGTGGCATGCAGGGCCTGGGAGAAAAACAAGAAAAGAAACACCTTCCGTTTGGCTGGCTTCCTGCGAGGGAAAAAGGGGCTACTTGGTACCAGGCATCCAATGAGGCCGGGCTGGCCGGCTCAGAAAGACCCATGGGTTGCATCCATCTCCTTCTTGGGCTCTCGGATGTCCCCGGGCGTGTCCTGGCCAAAAATGCCTAAAAGTGGGGTGGGGTGGGGTGGGGTGGGGTGGGGTGGGGTGGGCTGGGCTGGGCTGGGCTGGGCTGGGCTGGGCTGGGGTGGGGTGGGGTGGGGTGGGGTTGGGGTTGGGGTGGGGTGGGGTGCAGCATCTTGAGGATAAGAAACATGGCACTTGCGCGTGACAATGGATAAAACTGTTGTGCCAATGGTGGAAAATAAGCCCTTCTGCGATACCAGAGTCGGGCCATCCACCCCATCACTTTGCAGGGGATTCCGACTTATGACTTCCTGGCCTAGCCCAGGTACCGAACAGCTGCTTCTTTGGGGCAAGGGAGGACACCGGACAGCCCGACAGGCAAATGAGCACCTCTCTGGTTAACCAGTTCTCTGAGTTGACACATAGCATATCAAACTAGGCTGCCCTCAGAACCCCCCTCTAATAGTTTAACTTTTAGTGGGTTAAATAGAAACTACCACTAAACACTTAAAAGGAACTAAAAGGCTAAGGAACCGGATGACTGGGAGCCACCAAGTAAAGTGGAACTCCAAACCGCCGTCACTTGCAAAAAAGTCTCCCTTTGGGGTGAATAGCCGTGAACTTGCAGAGTATTTGTTTGTTTGAGTCGAGCCGGCCGGCCCGATGCCCCGACCGAGCCCAGGAAAAAAAGGCACCATCTAGATGAAGAATACTCTCATAACCAGGCTTAACCAGGGCACTTCTGTGTATCAAGAGGGGATTCCCTTGTATCATAAAAGTGGGGATGAGGCCCTTGATCCCGCAACCCTGCTCTCATCACCGACTAGCATGATTTTGCGACTTCCATTGAGGCATGGACGCCCCCTGTGTCTACTGGGGAAAACCGGGGACGGGGTCGGACGAAACGTCAGGTTCCATGGTGGATGGTTGTCATCTTCCGTTTGCTTAAGCCCCCGGGAAAAATAACCTAATTTCCAGTATAGTGATGGATTTTCTTTAAACCCAACAAGTTTGTTTTTGAAGATTTGTTAAGCAAAACAAAAAACACATGCTTAAGCAAGTGGAAGTCAGTTGTCCTTGATATCAATGAGGTGGATGGTGCAATCCTCCGCCGACGGCTCGCTCTCCGCTGCCTTTGCAAAGGTCTTCAAGTCTTGGTCCGCCCCGATGGGCGGCCAAGTATGGGTGTCTTGTTTCCCCTCCCCAAACCAAATAGCAAAAACTGTTTTTGGATATGGGTGTCTTGCTTTTTTAGCCCCCCCCCAAACCAAATAGCAAAAACTTGTTTTTGGATATGGGTGTCTTGCTTTTTTAGCCCCCCCCCAAACCAAATAGCAAAAACTGTTTTTGGATATGGGTGTCTTGCTTTTTTAGCCCCCCCCCAAACCAAATAGCAAAAACTGTTTTTGGATATGGGTTTCTTGATTTTTTAGCCCCCCCCCAAACCAAATAGCAAAAGCTGTTTTTGGATGTATGTGTGTGTGTGTGTCTTGCTTTTTTAGCCCCCCCAAACCAAATAGCAAAAACTGTTTTTGGATCTGAGTGTCTTGCTTTTTTAGCCTCCCCCCCCAAACCAAATAGCAAAAACTGTTTTTGGATATGGGTGTCTTGTTTTTAGCCCCCCCCCCCCAAACCAAATGGCAAAAACTGTGTTTGGATATGGGTGTCTTGTTTTTTGTAGCCCCCCCCCCAAACAAATTAGCAAAAACTGTTTTTGGATATGGGTGTCTTGTTTCTTCAGTCCCCCCCAACCAAATAGCAAAAACTGTCTTTGGGTGTCTTGTTTTTTTAGCCCCCCCCCCCCCAAACCCAATAGCAAACACTGTTATTGGATATGGGTGTCTTGCTTTCCCCCCCCCCCCCTCCCCAAACCAAATAGCAAAAACTGTTTTCGGGTATGGGTATCTTGTTTTTTAGCCACCCCCCCCCCCACCCAAACCAAATAGCAAAAACTGTTTTTGGATGTGTGTGTGTGTCCTGTTTTTTTAGCCCCCCCCCCCCCAAACCAAATAGCAAAAAACTGTTTTTTGATATGGGTGTCTTGCCTTTTTGCCCCCCCCAACCAAATAGCAAACACTGCTTTTGGATATGGGTGTCTTGTGGTTCAACCCCCCCCCAAAACAAATAGCACAAACAGTTTTTGGATATGGGTGTCCTGTTTTCTTAGCCCCCCCCAAACCAAATAGCAAAAACTGTTTTTGGATATGGGTGTCTTGTGGTTTAGCCCCTCCCACAAAAAAATCAAGTAGCAAAAACTGTTTTTGGATATGGGTGTCTTATTTTTTAGCCCCCCCCCCAAACCAAATAGCAAAAACTGTTTTTGGATATGGGTGTCTTGTCTTGTTAAGCCCCCCGCCCAAACCAAATAGCAAAAACTGTTTTTAGATATGGGTGTCTTGTTTTCTTAGCCCCCCCAAACCAAAAATCAAAACTGTTTTTGGATATGGGTGTCTTGTTTTTTTAGCCGCCCCCCCCAAACAAATAGCAAACGCTGTTTTTGGATATGGATGTCTTGTTTTTTTAGCCCCCCCAAACCAAAAAGCAAAAACTGTTTTTGGATATGAGTGTCTTGCTTTTTTAGCCCCCCCCCCCCCCGCAAATCAAATTATAGCAAAAACCGCGATTTTCCTGTTGGTGTCCGTGTAAAACTAAAAGAAGGCTCCCTCAAGAAAAGGATGCTCCCGAATGGGGCTCGTACACTGGGCCGCATTTGTAGATAGCACCCTTCCTGGTAAACCTCCTGATGGGCAAAATAGAGGTGGTCAACCCCAGTCACCAACAATCGTGGCCATCGGGCAAGAGGCGAACCATCTTCGTTGGATGCTTGGTTTTGCTGTTTTCTGGGAATGCCCTCAACAAAGAAGGGGGAACCTAGGAGGCCACCCGCTGGGCATCAGGGTTTGCAAGCCCCTGCTGTGCGGGGACTGATTGAGGCATAGCCCAATTCTGCGTCATTCAAGTGACCTGAAAGCTGGATACCCCGCCTTCTGAATCACGAAGTCTAGCTTACCTCGGATCTCACGACAGGAATCGTAACGGACAACAACTGTCCACTGGTCCAAGTGTGCAACTGCTGCAAGATGCCAATGGACCACCAAGTCCAACATGGGCTTGTAGGCAACATGTTTGCTGCAAAGCTGAAGCAATGAGTCGAAGATGTCCTCAACAGACCCGTCAGGCATACCCAGAAATCACTTCCGGCATATCTACCTGGAATGGCTATGCTCAAAGCTCTACATAACCTTGATCTTCCAGGACGGAAAAGCAGGCCTGCCGAATGTCCATTTGGAGCCAAGATCAAAATCAAGGACCTTTTTGCGTGTCCTTGGAAGACCAAGGTAAGGTGAATTGAAAGTAGGTGAGTTTCAGAAACCCAACATGTCCAGCGCCTCCCAGGGGAACTCACTCCAATTCAGCGACCGGAGACCTTCCGCCCCCGAACTGACCAAATCGAAGATGGAAGGCCCACGACCCCGCTGAGAGCTGCGGCTTTCTGAAAGGTGAGAAGCGTCAGACGAATCATCCAAAGCTGGACGCCCTAGCTTGGTTGCTGTTGACTCCCCTGCGAAAAGTTGACAACTGGTTGGGGTTCAGTGGAAAACCCAACTTGATTTCCTAAAAGTTTAAAGTCTAAAGATCCGTTGCCCAATAGCAGTCAAGCTTGGAAGCACACATATGGACTTGCACAAGTTGCTATGCTTCCCAAACTAGAGGACTCTGTGGGGTGGGGTTGAAAACTGCGGCTCATGGCCATGATATATGGCAGCATCATTGTTTTTGGTTGGACCCCCCCCAAGCAAAGATCCCTCTTGGTTTCCCTTAAAAACCGAAGAAACGTGGGGGTACCCCAAAAGAAAAGACGCTCCCATACGTTAAAAGCGACAAAGGGCGTCAAAGGGCACCTCGTTGAAGCTTCCAACTCAGAGGCCATGTTGGACAAACCGAATATGGGTGGCTTTTTGTTGAGGGTACCTTTGTTGTTGTTGGTTGGTTTGAAAGGGAATAAAAGCATTATCTTTTGGTGGGACCCCCAAAAAAACTGATAAACAAAACAACCAAGCGAAAGCATCCGCCGAATGTGACTCTTCGATCATATATGCTTGATTCTGATCTAAAGGGACGAAATCGCAAAGGAATTTTGGCACCCCTGCTGATCAGTGGAAAACCCCTGCTCATCTGCTCGCCCCCTAAAACCAGCTTTGGCCAGACTGTTCGAAATTCATTGGCGCTAATCACAATCCGTAATCCGCTCAATCATTTGTCTGGTTGGTCGCCGTCTGAATGTGCAATCTGTGATGCAAAGCGTGTTACCTTCTGCCGGAGCACTGAAATCCACGCAAGAAACCTCCAAATCGAGTGAGACCTACTGTGGATGGTTTCGAACTTCATTCGCACCCACCTAACGAAACCCAACGGAAAATAAATCGATTCCCCTCGTAAATACCGCAACCAAACAATGGTTTTTGCGCAACCTGCTTTTTGGACCGGAACAGGCACGGGTCGGAAAAAAAAAATTGGGTCCCCAGGGCTTCATTGTTGTGCGAGAGACGTGGATGACTCGCGTAACCACAAGTCCAAGGAGCTCTGCTTGATCTGCGTCTCCGTCTTCAGCTCTTCACCTGAAAGTCCCGGGTTTAAGGACCCACAAGGAGAAATTGCGCCGAAAAGAAACGGAAACCTCTGGGAGGCTGACCTTCTTTTTGGGCCCTGGGTCTTCCTGCGGTTCTGTTTCCGTTTGGTGGGCCCTGCAGTTTGGAGGGGCTGGCTTGACCCTGACGTATTTTTTGCGGTGTCAAGGAGCTTGGCGATGGAACTAAGCCATTTGTGCTCGATGGTGCCGCCCCGGACCCCCGGACCATCGCGTTTGGCCATCAAACTGGCAGGCGCGCTTTGGCAAATCCGCTGGCCCTGCCTTGATACACCAGGATCATGTCCTCCACCTCGGGTCGTTTCGTGAAGGGAGCGGGCAGGGCCCAAGCATGGCTTCTTCTTCGAGTTTGGCTCGTGCCTCCACGAGAAACTTCCTGCTTGCCTTGCTGTTAGGGGGCGGGAGGGGAAGGAGGGTGGGTGCGGGGGTTGAAATCCATATTGCTTAACTCAGGCAGTTCAAACATGGATCTTGCCGTGAAGTTGCTTGAGTACACTTTGGAGGTGCCGGGAAAGCTCTCTGGAGCTTGGGGCAAGCCCTGGTTCTGGATCGCCCCTGGCGTCAAATTTGCCTGGACCTGGCGTGTTTCCCTCAAATCCCGAATTGCCATGCGCATCATGTATATATATATATATACATATATATATATATATGCTTCTCGGAATTTGTGCGCATCTCTTTTTTATTATTATTTCGGAAGATGCAGCATTCAGCAAATCCAGCTTTGCAACGTATCCAAGACGTGTTTTGCCTTGAAAGGAAATCCAAGAAATCCGGACCTCCGGGGTATGGTCATGAGACTGAAAGCAACCCTGGTGAAAGAAAACGGCCTCCACGCGAAAGCCACAGCCGGGGTCTTCCGTCTCTCTACACGCAATGCTGGCTACAGCCAAGTTCGCTAAGACTAAGGTGTTCTTTTCTGTACGGGCTGGGGTTCTTACAGGAATGCCCATCTTGCGGGAGGTGTATCTCTTGAGCATGTGCACGTTGTCGTTGATGGAGATCTCAACCTCAGCTCAAAGTCGCTCAGAGGCTCAGTTGAAAGCTTCACAGGTATGTGAATGTGGCAAAACTAAGGACCCACATGCTGGCTCCTTTGGTTTCCCGTTGCCGCCCTGACAAGGGTACCCTCAACAACGGGTATATATGTTGATAAACACATATGTATATTCTGGGTTGTTCCGAATGGGAGGTGGTCCCTAACCCATTATTCGCAGGGCACCAAAACAATTTGGCATAAGGAGTACTTCACTGCCAAGATATTGTAATTGTCAACATCGGCATAGGGCTATATATCCGCTAAAGCAATTGAGAGAAGGCTCATAACCCCATTTACAACTATCCACCGCCGATCACGCTGCGAACGGGGCGCTGGTGTGGCCTAGGGCTTGGGAGATGGTCTTAGTTGGCTCCACTTGAGGCTCTTTCTTTTTAGGGTTCCATAGGCAGAACACCCTCTTTCCGGCAGTTTATTCCGGGGCGTCAACAACCCTGACTTCTAGACTTCCATGAACAACGGGGCGACCAAAATTGGCTTTTAAGCAGCTCTGAACCAGATTGCGGTGCATACCCTCGCTCCCACATACATGGAAGCTGACATAAGATCCTTTGAAGATTTATCGTCGAGGTACACTCGTACCTTCCCAGCCAGAGGTACTATGTTAGTGGCGGGAAGGGTATCTTGCGTCAAGATTGAAGTATTCTGTTTGAACAAGGGGCATCCGCTTTCCCGCGGCAAACGGACTCACTTAGGGACCCTCGATTCCCTCCGATCGAATTCGAATTCCAAGAGCTCAGGGAACGCAAGGGAGCTCAGGCAGTGAGTAACTCACGTGCGTATAAAGCTCCAGCTATAGAAATGGCTCACAATTAAAGAGCCAGGGTTACGCAGGTAATTTAGTAGGTTCCATTACCAAGGTACCATTTTGGGATTCCACGGTTTTTGAGCCACAGCCAAATGAGCTCCGGGCCCAAACCGTCCGCGCATTCTTCACGTTGGTGATGAACAGCAGCAAGGGCCGAGGCGGAGGAGGTGCCACCTCGTCACCGTTTTGACACTGGATCCAAATTAGGGTCAGGTCGATGCCCAATGGGAAATCGTAGCCCCAGTGAACGGGACCCAATCCAACCACTAAAATAGGTTCTAAAAAGTGTGGTGCACCTACCCCAAAATGGTACCATTGGTTTTGACCCACAGCCATATCGCCCCTCAGTCACCTCCGACGTGTTCCCAAGCTCCAGTCACCGACCCCGGACTAGGGCCCCAAAGGTTTTGACCAGCTCCAAGGCTGGGAATCTACAACTAGGTCCTCCAGATTTCAGAGCTTAGAATAAGTTGGTACCCGATTTTAGTTTTTTGGTCTATTTTAGTAGGGTTCCGAACCTTCCCCCAAAGAAGAAACGGTAAAAGGGCAGCAATTGCTGGGGGACCTAGACAACCTCCCTTCCCTGGCTTGCTACTTGCAATCGTTTTGGGCATCCAGGACGGCATCCACCGTAAAATATTCACATCGGCACTGGCAAATCGTAAGAATCGGACTGAAACCCGTGCCACCTACTCACTTGCCCAAAGGACCTGCAAATAAAGGGTTAACCTTTTGGGACCTCTACTAAAAATAGACCAAAAAGGGAAAACCAAAAGGTCAAAAGGTCGGCTTTGAACAACTGAGCCTATGCTTCCACCAATCAGGAACCCAACATAGCGCACACCTGAATTCAATGAAAGCCAGCCTCATTGTCAATGCTGCCCATTGGCACTGGTAGAAAACGGGAACGCTTTGTCGGGTTGGCCGTGTTGTTGAACAACTGGACGTCTCAAACCAACTCACCAGAAAACCAGACACGTTTTTTCTGTAACCCCAAAGGGGCCCTAAGCAGAATCGCTCGTTTCCAGGTGAAGCGATGCTCTCTCTCCACACCAACGCGCGGATAAACCCCTAAGAGGGTGGGCTCGACTAGACGTGATGTAAAGGGGTCCAGTTGGATTTTGACAAGACAAATTTCAGGGTGGGGCAATCAGTGCAACTTACGCTCCCTCCCAACATAGAAAAGGAAGTGGCATCAAAGGTTAGCCTTTTGGGGTCATGACTAAAACTGGACCAAAACAGGAAAATAGAAGAGATCCTCGGGAAAACTATCGCCGCATAGTGCACTTCGTGTTCCCAAACAACATTTCCCAGCCCGTAAAATCAAAAGAGTACTGGGTCTTTGGGGAGAACATACTGTGGACGGACGAAATCCATTTCGCATCACCAAAAAAGACCCTGGACTGATGCTGCCCCTGAGCATACCCACAAACAATGCTTTCAACCATGATTTCGCAACCATCCACAGTATGGATGTGATACGAAAGGGGCCATTACTCTTCACTCCGAAGGGCGCTATCCGAGAAGGTGAAGCAACCCACCTCACTTCCTGACGGCAAAAACGAAGGAGTGGCTGTAAATCAAAACCAACGTGATCCCATTTTGGGGGATTTGTGAATTCACCACCCATTTTAGGCTTCCTATTTTTGTGGTTGGAGTGAATCGGTCCCGTTCACTGAACCTACGATTTGGGTTTTGAAAAGCCCATGGCCGAGTCCGACCTTCTGAGCTTGCCACCAAACTGATTTTGGGGGCTGGGAAGGCCTGAAGCCCTGCCAAGAACCCGCCAGCCGCACCTCAAAAAGGTCCAGTAGAAAGGTTAGAATCAGGGTGCCCGATTGCTTTTTGTCACTCGTCTATTTTATTCCCCCAAAAAAAGAGTCAAAGGGCACTGGGCCACTGGGGGACCCCATGTAGGTCCCCAGTCCTCCCCAGGATTCGCTTCTGGTGACCGTTGCCCATTCTTTGGGCCCAAAGAAAAGGGCAAAAAAGAAAGAAAAACGATTTCCCCCCCCCCCCTCTCAAAAAAAAAAACGAAAACCAAAAAAAAACAAAGACCCTAAAAACCCCGGCGGCTGCCATGGGCGTCCCCACGTGGTAGCCCTCCGGCACCGGCTGCGGAGCTGGCAGCGGGGACGGCCTCAGCTCGAAATGCATGTTGGGGGTTGGTGCAAAGAAATTTTGGGGACAAACCAGTGGTTAACCAGAAGAACAAGGGAAAAAGCACAGTGTTAACCAGAAGGACCAGGGAAAAAGCACAGTGTTAACCAAAAAACAGGGAAAACGCACAGTGTTCGCCAGGCAAACCCGGGAAAAAGCACTGTGTTTGCCAGAAAAAACCCGGGAAAAAGCACTGTGCTAACCAGAAAAAAACCCGGGAAAAACACTGCGTTAACCAGAAACACCAAGGAAAAAACATAGTGTTAAGCAGAAAAACCAAGGAAAAAGCACAGTGTTAAGCAGAAAAACACGGCAACACAACCAGCATTCATCAGCATGCTGGTTTTCGCCAGGAAAACAGGCTGCTAACCAGGGGAAAATCTCAGTGGAGATCTCAGGCGAAGGCTCCCCTGAAAGAATCTCCCTGGCTCCATGCAGTTTTTGGGTTTTAGATGATGCACAGTCTCGCGCTTATTCACACGGACCCCGCAAGAAGCCATCGTTTTGAGAGGAACCTGGGAATCCCATTGAAGGAAAGAGGCCGGAACGCGCCATGTGGGGGGGCGGGAGGGAGGGGCAGTGTTTTTGCAGTAAATGCCTTTCACAACTCACAATGTTAAATAGTAGTCTTAGCTGGAAACTTCCTGGGCACGCTTCGAAAGCTGGTATTTTCAAAGACTTACCCCACTCACCCCGGACCAAATCCCAAAGAATATGTTCTACAGTTGAGTCCTGTTTGGAGCCTATTGACCATAATTTCCCCTGGTGTTGTGTCTTGTCTTTACGGGTGTGTTCATTCATGCTAAACATTAACTACCACCAGAACGAGTGTTTGCCAGGGATATGAACAACGCAGAATAAGTAGCTGAATATGAGACTTACAATTGATATACATATGTTAAAAATGTGTGTTAAGTACATGCATCAAATACAGTCCCCTTCTGGAAGCAATAATGGTTGTTTCAGTTTGAGTCATTCCCTCTCTCAAAGCTGGGAAGCGACGGGACCGACATGGAAACCCAAAAAAGTACCCCAAGGGAGACTGGCTTCAATGTTGGTCTGGGAGGAAAGCCCCGTCCATACATGATTGTCTGCCACCCTACATTCACATTCTGGACTCACTTCCTGCAACATCAGGCAGTCAGGAATTTGAGTGTACCACTCACTGTTCATTGTGGTTGGTTACTTATAGCCGTAGCTGAATCCACACCTTTACTCCCAGACTTCAAGCCTGTTGTTCTCACCTTTTGAGACCTTGTCTCAATATGGACATAAAGGGTCCACTTTGGCTTTCCGGCCTTTCACGATCAGGCGATTCCGCTGTTAGGTCTTTCATAGAAATGTGTTTTTCTAGTTTTGCACATGCGTCTTGGAACGCCTGCAGTTGTGTGCGCTTGTTTGTATGGCAGGGTGGGCTCTGGTTGCAAGCTTGCCTGATGGGACAACCCCTTATAATAACCAACAGGAGGTTCTTGTAAGCGGCAGCATTTTGTGACCCTGAGAAAGAAGACAAAAGCAAAGAACAACAAACGGAGAACCCTGACTTGATTACCCTATGTCCATCCCGTGCGGAGCCAAGGCTTTTTCCATTTTGCCACAGCAATCAAACAAATGATGCGTCGAAATAGCCCTTCTGGCTTGGTTCCCCTGTTGTGACCCCGTTAAAAAAGCCGGATGCCTATTTTTCGGGGGTGGATTGCGTGTTTAGCCGAGAAGGCCCCATTTTTATTTTTTTTTTAAGCTGTCTAAGGGTGGAACCCCGGAAGAATTCATCAAGCTACCCGTACTGAGCCTTCAACTCTGCCATGTCAGGGCTCCGCGCATTTTCGGCCCGCGCGCCGGGCCAGAGACCCGCGCGCTTTGTGGAACGCCCACGCTCGGGCAAATGGGCGAGCGACCGGTCGAAGACTTGCTTTGGGGAGGTGGAGCTGTCTGAGTAGACAGTCCTCATGCTGAAGGATGACATGTGTAGGATTCTTTGGGGAGGTTGGCAATTGACCAGTTCTCAGGCTGATGACCCACCAGTAATATGGACCCTGACTGGAGTTTTGGTGGAACACAATATTCCTTGAAGGTAGCCTTCTGGTTGGTTCCATGCTATGTAGGTGGGGGAAGAAGTCTGTTATGAGTCAGGTGTCTCATAGATTGACAGGGCAGCACGGAGCCCACGAGACAAGCTCTATGACTTGGCAAGCAGGTGGAACATCCAAGCAAATGCCACGCCAGGGCATCCTTCAAACAAGCTGGAGAGTGATGTGCAGCCATCCTGTCAATCCCAGCCACATCCAACTCCTGAGGCTGATTGTCCTTTAAGCACATCCTATCAGCTACTGGGCATCATAGAGGATCTATGGCAATTCACACCTTCGGCTGATTAATTGCTACTAGGTCCTCCAGTAGAGAGGTCGTCAGAATAAGTTGGTACCCGAGTTTTTTCTCTTTCTGTAGTCTATTTTTGTAGGGAACCCTCCCCCAAAAAGGAAACGGTAAAAGTTGGCATCTAGCTGGGGGACCTAGACTAAATTACTCTACCCCATCTAAACGAGTGCCATCTATTGTTAACCAGGCTCACCTAAAAAGGACACCTATGGGATGTATGGCAATTCACACCTTCGGCTGATTTGTTCACTCTCCAGCCCGCGGCCACAGACTTACTTCACATACAAACCATCTGTCAAAAGCGAAAGCTTGCAGGCGGGAAGACGACTTTCCTTTCAGCGGGCCTCCCTATAGCTGTTGCCGCTTTTGCGGCCTGACCCCTGGGTGTGGCTCAAAATCAAACAGGAGGGGCAAACCGCAGTTGTCTTGGTTCATTTCTCCACTTCACAAAGCAACCAATTTTGGAATTCCATTCTAGTTTTTTGGAGCCACAGCCCCCTCCCTAAGAAAAAACGCTGCGCTCTCTCTTCGCTGCGCTGAGCGAGTCCCGATCCACTTCCATGGCTGAGTTCCATGAGAACCCACTCTCGTGGAAAGAACCCCTCAGTTGGAACCAGTGACCCTGGAAAAAAAGGGAACCCTTTTTGGGGCTTGGACCGAGTTTTTCTTCGTGGGGCAGCCACCCAAAAAAAGGGAAACACAATTGGTCCCACTGAACAACTGAGACCCAGAGCAATGGGCCATCGAGTGAGCTTGGAACATCGAGAGGACAAGGGCCCTAGACCAACCCCCTTAGCATGTTGTTTGGAGCGCGTCCCCCTCGAAGATGCGATCGGAGGGACTGTTGCAACCTCTTTGTCGGGAGGTGTTTTCATTCCAAGCTGACGGTTTGGAGAGAACCATCGCGTTTTGTGGCTTTAGCAAACATCTGGCTCTGGGAAACGTGACTCATAGCCCAGAATCGAAACTTCAGCGAGTTTCCTGACAATATCTGTAGGGGGGCAACAAAATTCAACTCCTTTCCTGACATATCTGCGGGGTGTCCCATCTGGCCCCTGTTCTTGGCGCTTTTGCCTCCGTCAAATCAAGCTCTGCATCAGGCGCCGGCATTCCTGGCACCAGTTCAGTCCCGACCAAGCTGAGATGAGGTGCGACATGTAGCTGAGATGACCCTTGCCAGGCCAAAGGCCTCCTTTCATGACTATACCTCTTCGAATAGAATTATTCCACTTGCTTAAGCCCCCCGAACAAAAATGACCATATGTCCAGTAGTGATGGATTCCCTTTAAAACCAAACAGGGAGAGCGAAACATATTCTTAAGCAAATGGAAGAATTCGATAAGACAATTAGAGTGCAGTTCCCGCATGGCCACCTGATCAAAAACGATTATCTCTTCTCTCTTCTCTCTTCCCCAAAGGCCCAGTGGGCTGTGACTGGATGACTGGAATTGCCAAGACGTGGTCGAGTGGTGGTCCCTCATGGTTCCATGGCTGTGGCAACGTGACACGCACAAGCGCTTTGTTCCCGACAAAGGGGCGTGGCGCTGCTCAAATGAAAACTGCGGGCCACGCTCAGACCTTGACCTTGCTGCCAAACTCCCAAGGGTTGTTGAGAGGGTTGCGCTTGCGACCCCACAGGCATGGAGGACGTTTGGAGCCACGAACGTTGAGGCCATTCCCCTTCTTCATGTTGAGGATGTTCTCAGGGGTGGGTCGGATGCGGCCGCCATTGTAGTGCTTCTCGATGGGGATGGTAGTTCCCTCGAACCATCTGATGTGGCGCTGCCTCACTCCTTGAGGCCCAAGGAACTTGAGAAGCAAAAAGTCCTCGTTGACCTTGATCCCAACATCGCCGCCGTCGCACACATCGTTGTAGCTGCCGATGAGCTGCTCCCGATCCCACACCAAATGCGCTGGCACGTCAACCTCTCCATCTTCGTCTTGGTTCCTCTTGGCAAGAGCCTGTGACTTCTTCTTGGGCCTCACCCGAATCTCATCACCAACCTTCAGGAGTGTCGAGGGCACATTGGTTGTCACCCAAACGGGGTCCTTGTAATCTGACTCCTTCCTGGGGGACTTGATCTGGATGTGGTTCTCACGCACCATCCAACGAGCCGCAGCCATGGTTGGTGCGATTCCCACTCGCCAGCAGAAGTTGTCGATGCGGCTCTCCAGGATTGCCATGAGATGGTCGATGGGATACTTGCGGCCCTCTTTGAAGGCTCGTAGCACGTACTTGGTGAGTTGCCGCACGTTGATGTTGTAGTGGCACCTCACCCGCGACCTCTCATACAACTGGCGACCCCACTGCGAAAGCGGCCTAGTGGGACGCTTCCGCCAAGGCTGCTTGAGCTTCTTCCTCAGCAAGGGCTTACGTGACCATGCCGGCATCTCGCCGAAAGGCTCTAAGCGCCGCATGGTCTTCTGCCGGCTCATGCATCTTGTTGGGAAGATGTGGGCCACGACCTTCTCAGCACGTGGCCGCTTCTCAGCCACGGCAGCCACCAGAGCGCAGACCGCAACTGCCGACACGCGACAGAAGAGGCCCAAGTCGCCCGAAGTGCTGCTGGGAGGGCTGGGGCTGGGTCGCTGCACCTGCGCCACTACCGCGCGCTGCCCCAATGCTGAGCCCCCATGTTCACCCAGACGAGCGCCGGCTGGGAGAAGAAAGACAGGCGCCAAAGCACATGCTGCCAAGGCAAGAACTCGTGAAAACCGACGGGGCTTCATAGTGAGAGGCGTAGCTTTCGCACGCCTTCTTAGGCCGAAGCAGCACCAGTATGAGAGATGAGACAAGGCATGCTGATACTTGTAAATACATTCAATGACCTTCACCCTCCTGACAAGTATGAAAGTGCACAATCACTTAAACGACACATGTCCTTTCTTTCTGGAAACGGCCAATGCTTGTTGGGTCGATTGAAAACGTCCATGGACCTTGATGCTTGTATCTGATGGAAAACGCAGGCTTCTGCACCACCCCGTCCAGTCAACCAGCAGCTGTCCATGGAAACCACAACCCTTTCAAGCGGTTCATGGTGCACACCGGCGGGTTGAAACAAAGAAAGCAGCTTGGGTATTCACAGGTTTCCCATAATCCCCCCGAAAAGAAACAAATCACACCAACAGCAAACTCACTGCACATGGCGTGATTCAAGCAGCTCGCACGGTCCTTTTCAGCTCAGAAAGATCTTACTGCACTAGGCCTCGCTCAGACCTTGACCTTGCTGCCAAACTCCCAAGGGTTGTTGAGAGGGTTGCGCTTGCGACCCCACAGGCATGGAGGACGTTTGGAGCCACGAACGTTGAGGCCATTCCCCTTCTTCATGTTGAGGATGTTCTCAGGGGTGGGTCGGATGCGGCCGCCATTGTAGTGCTTCTCGATGGGGATGGTAGTTCCCTCGAACCATCTGATGTGGCGCTGCCTCACTCCTTGAGGCCCAAGGAACTTGAGAAGCAAAAAGTCCTCGTTGACCTTGATCCCAACATCGCCGCCGTCGCACACATCGTTGTAGCTGCCGATGAGCTGCTCCCGATCCCACACCAAATGCGCTGGCACGTCAACCTCTCCATCTTCGTCTTGGTTCCTCTTGGCAAGAGCCTGTGACTTCTTCTTGGGCCTCACCCGAATCTCATCACCAACCTTCAGGAGGGTCGAGGGCACATTGGTTGTCACCCAAACGGGGTCCTTGTAATCTGACTCCTTCCTGGGGGACTTGATCTGGATGTGGTTCTCACGCACCATCCAACGAGCCGCAGCCATGGTTGGTGCGATTCCCACTCGCCAGCAGAAGTTGTCGATGCGGCTCTCCAGGATTGCCATGAGATGGTCGATGGGATACTTGCGGCCCTCTTTGAAGGCTCGTAGCACGTACTTGGTGAGTTGCCGCACGTTGATGTTGTAGTGGCACCTCACCCGCGACCTCTCATACAACTGGCGACCCCACTGCGAAAGCGGCCTAGTGGGACGCTTCCGCCAAGGCTGCTTGAGCTTCTTCCTCAGCAAGGGCTTGCGTGACCATGCCGGCATCTCGCCGAAAGGCTCTAAGCGCCGCATGGTCTTCTGCCGGCTCATGCATCTTGTTGGGAAGATGTGGGCCACGACCTTCTCAGCACGTGGCCGCTTCTCAGCCACGGCAGCCACCAGAGCGCAGACCGCAACTGCCGACACGCGACAGAAGAGGCCCAAGTCGCCCGAAGTGCTGCTGGGAGGGCTGGGGCTGGGTCGCTGCACCTGCGCCACTACCGCACGCTGCCCCAGGCCCGAGGTTGCCCCATGCGGCGCCGAAGGCGAGATGAAGGCGCGGGACGCGCACAAGGCGCTGAGCGCCAAAAGCGCTGGCCACCGACTCTTTGACATGGCAGGGCCCAGGTGGAATCTGGGGCCAGCCAAGCTGCGGAATAACTTTTCTGCAAATCATGGAGAGGTTCTGCCGTGCCGCTGCCCAGGAAGAACAAGTGTCCTTCAGTCATGAAAGTTAACAAAGGCTCACTTCTTCAGTGGATTGGCAGGAAAAAATCGAGGAACTGATTCTTTATCACTGAATTGGCTTTCCTAAAAAGGTAAAAGTCCCGAGCTCAAAGATGGAAGCCTTCACCACCTACCTTTTCAGCTGCCATGAAGCAACCGCCTCGAAGACCGTGAAGGTGATGCAGTTGTTAGATGCATGAAAGGCAGCGCGCGCTCCTCGGAACCGACACCCAGGCAAGTGAGGGTACCCTGACACCCAGTCTACCAATCACCCTGGTGGAAAAAGCGGGTTGATTTCTCCGAAAAAGATTCCCCTTGTTTTCTTCCATTGGTGGTTTGGGTTGGTTTGGAGGGTAGGGGCGTAGGGGGCTCTTGCCATTTCACCCTTTACAAGCACCAGGGCTTTAACTCTCACCAATCCAAAACAACTAAGGGAAACAAATGACAAAATATGTTTCAAGGGACAAATGAAAGCCCCTGACCACCTTCTGGAACCACCCCCCCAAAAGAATTAGAGACCACTCTTAAATTCTGAACGTCCTTCTCAAGGGGAAACATCAAACATGACAGCCTCCCCTCCGGCTTGAGACAAACGAGTGGATTGGCCGATTCGGGTTTAAATCGGCCGAATAAAGTGACAGCCAGAAGTCATGAAGTTGCACTTCCTTGATCCAGCGGAGCCAGGTAAGAAACCTAGGGATGCCTCAATAGATTTCCATGAGAACCAAAGCATCGGCTCTTGTTTTCTTTGGTATGTTTGGTAATTGATTTTCAACAAGCAACGGAATAACAGAGCAACTGCAACAAAAACAAGCGGATACTGGCTCACTTCCTGAGTGGATTTGCCAAAAGAAGTAACCGCACTTTTGGTTGCAACTAACATGGTCTTCCCAAAGAAGTTTCAAGTCCGAAACGGAACTCAGGAAGCGAGCTAAAGAGAAGTCTTGGATTTGGATTGGGGGTGCTGATTGGGTGACTGGGTGACTGGGTGACTGGGTGACTGGGTGACTGGTGGCCTGGCATCCTTTCATTTTCGAGGGTGGGAAGGAGACAAAGGGTCGGCGTGGCTCACATGGAAAGGTCCGCTCGGTCGGCTCCGGGCCCGGCGCCCGCGCCGCGGAAGAGAGCCCGCACCCCGCCCTCGCCTCAGGCGAATGGGGCGGGTCTGATGGGTCCGGAGTGAGGTGGTTTCGGTCTCACCGGCACACGTGGACACTCCAGCCGTTTCTGGTCTCACAGGAGCAGGTGGTCGCTCAAAATGCTCAAAGTACTGCGCCTGCCACGAAATCCAGCCCCAAATCTGCGCTCTCGCAGGCTGCTTCACAAGCGTGCGCGTGCTAATTTAGCGCGTGGGCGCAGCTTTTCAAGCGTCGGAGCACGCAGCGGCTCGGGTCTCACAGGAGCACGTGAGCGCTCCAAACCACTCAAAAAAGCGTGCCTGCTACGAAATCCAGCTCCAAAACCCACGCGGGACCTGGCTTCAACTGCACTCATGCAGGTCGCTTCACAAGCATGCGCGTGCTAGTTTTGCGCGCGGGCGCGGCTTTTCAAGCATCGGAGCACGCAGCGGCTCGGGTCTCACAGGAGCACGTGAGCGCTCCAAGTCACTCAAAAAAGCGCGCCTGCCACGAAATCCAGCTGCAAAACCCACGCGGAACCTGGTTTCAACCGCACTCTTGCAGGTCGCTTCACAAGCATGCGCGTGCCAATTGAGCGCGCGGGCGCAGCTTTTGGAGCGTCGGCGCACACAGCGGCTCGGGTCTCACATGACCACGTGAGCGCTCCAAGTCACTCAAAATAGTGCTCCTGCCACGAAATCCAGTTCAGGAAGGACCTGGCCTCCTTATGGGCGGGGGTTGGAGGGGGGGGGATGGTAGCACACCCGTTCAAGTGCACCACGCACGCGAAAGAGGAAGCGCACCTGCTCAAGCGCACCCGCTCAGCACTGCATCCACGCATGCGGGGGGGCTGGGGGGGGATGGTAAGCACACCCGCTCAAGTGCACCCGCTCAGCACTGCATCGACGCACGCGAAAGAGGAAGCGCACCTGCTCAAGCGCACCCGCTCAGCACTGCATCCACGCATGCGGGGGGGGGGGTGGGGGGGGGGCGGGGGGGGGGGATGGTAAGCACACCCGCTCAAGTGCACCCGCTCAGCACTGCATCCACGCACGCGAAAGAGGAAGCGCACCTGCTACGCCTGCGTGTCGCGACTCGTGTGGTAAGAACGTGTGGTCGCCTCGTGTTGACGTTCGAAGAGCGTCCCTCTAGCCGCTCACTTCCAAGCACGCGCGACATTACGCACGTAGAGCGTCCCTGTGGCCGCTTCCTTTGCAAAGCACGCAGAAAAGCCAGCGACATGAAGAAGAAGCACGAGGCCGAGTGCAAGACGCAACCGCCCCGTGCATCCCTGGATGGGATCAAGCATGGATGAAAGGCTTGCACGCACGTACGCTACTAGTGCGTTTTTGCTTACATGCGCGTGCGAGGCTCACGTGCTTTGCCTTTTTCGGGGACATGCGCGGTATCACATGCGCCGGCGAGACCCACGAAAAACTTGCCCAAAGTACCGCACCTACCACGAAATCCAGCCCTCTACATGCGCGGGCGAGACCACATTTACGTGCGCCTGCGAGCCGAAAACCACGTGCGCTCGCGAGGCCGTGACCGGTCGGGGTGGGGGGGCCTGGGTAGGCGGAAAAATATGATGCCCTCCCCCGAAAAAGCCGAGGGAAAAACGGTTTCAGGGGTGAGGATGGGCGCTTTTTGCTTTGTTGCATCTGTTTTTGGGGCTGGCTGCGAGGTGTGGGGTTTACACTTTGCGCGCTTCTACGTGCTTTCCGAGACTCTTGGCAAACCAATGCAGTCCGGAACCCTCCCTCCCTCCCTCCCTCCCTGGATCCCTCCCTCCCTCCCTGGATCCCTCTCTACTCTCTGCTCTATGAAGGCCATATATTCAACTAGGTCCTCCAGTAGAGAGGTTAGAATAAGTTGGTACCAACTTTTTTCTCTAGGCTATTTTAGTAGGGGCTTGCCCTCCTCCCCCCAAAAAAACGTGACAAAAGGCGGCTAGCTGGGGACCTAGTCAAAGCAACGTGCCGTCAAACTCAGGCGTACCGTCCAAACAGCGCCTAAGGCGGCCGCGCCACAGAGCGGACCTCAGGGCAGAGGGGGCCCCTGGCTGGCTTAGGGATCTCAAGATCACCCCGATTTTTGCTTAAGCAGTAGCAATGGATAACAAATATGTGTTTCATGTAAAGTATTCAGCCATAAGTTCATAATCGACACCATCTTGCGTTGAGGTAGATCTGTGATTATACTAATCTATATAAGCCATTCAGAAAACCATTCTAAAAAGAAAACATTCTCATCTTTCTTCAGAAAGCCATTCCAAACGCCACCCTGCTGGGGTTCGAAGGACCCGTTCCTCGAGACTGAGCTGAGTTGATCCGGCCCCGCCCAAAGCACCACCCCAATTCAGGGCAGCCCCCCCACCTCCCAAGCACACACCCTTCACAAAGACCAAACCAGATCAAAGTTGGAGGCGTGGGGTAGTGTTGGGAAATCGTAGGAGGAACTATTTGCCCGGAACATGAAGAAAAAGCCTGCCACTTTCAATACCCAAAGGGCTACCCACTCTCTTTCTCCTTTTTTTTTGTTTCTCTCTCTCTCTCTCTCTCTCCCTCTCTGTGTTTCCCCCCAAAAATCTTTCCCAGCCAAGCCCCCCCCAAAAAAACAACGGCATCTCTTTTCCTCGCACAGCAAAAAGGCCCGCGGAGCCGTGAAAGTCTCTGAGTGTCCCCACAAGGCGTCCCGCAGTCCCAGTAGATGCCCCTCCGGCACCGACACGCCTCAGTTTTCCAGTGGACTGGCCAGGAGAAAGGTCCAAGAACTGAGTTGTTTCTCACTAGGATCTTCTAGTTGCTTGAGCCCCCTGGAAAAAATGAGGAAAACAATATGTCCAGTAGTGAAATCCATTTTCTTTACAGCCGAAAGGGAAACATAAAAACATATCACATGACCCAAACCCCCCAAAACTTTCTCAAGTCCAGGCTGGTCGGGCTTGGAGTTTGGGGCCCGAGCCCTCGCACGGGTCCATGGAAAGTCGAGCTCCAATTGAGACACCATACCTGTTGGCCCCACACCTGGTGGAAAAAATGGGCTGTGGCTCAAAAAACCAAATTGGAATTCCACCATGTGTTGCCCGATCGGCAAGTGGAAACATGGAAAACCTGCGGAACCGCCCCTCCTGGTTAATTTTGAGCCACACCCAAATGTGGCCCCCTCAAGAAGTGAAGGCTAAGGAGCAGAAGCTTCAGGGGCTTATTATTCCTTCCAATGGTGTCCTGAGATAGGACAATGAGAAGTTGAATGGTCACTGGAACCTACACCTCGTGGTGGCATTTAACACAGCAAGCAGTACATACCATGTTGAGATCACGCACGTTGTACAGTCAAAGGATTGTGGGCCCTCTTGCGGTCTCCAGGATGTCCACCGGTGGGTGCGCGTTTCGTACTCGTTCCGTTGATGCCCCAAAGGGGAAAATGCACGAAAGCCGGGTGCGTCCAAATGAAGTCAAGCTATCAAAGCCACCCCAAGTCGTGGATGGAAGTGACACAATTCCAAGCGCAGGTCAAACTCAGGACCCGAGTCGTGGAGCATCGGGGCAAATCACAAAAATGGGCCCCATTCAAGTGAACAATGCCGCAGGGTTCTCAAGATCTTTGTGAGTGGATGCCCTGTTCCTGTTCCTTGAAATTGTACGTCTTGAGGCGCAGCTTTCATGAACCCAAACAACAGAAAGCAGCAACGAGCAAAACAAAACCACAGGCGGAAAACGAGCAAAGGAGCAAACATTGTCTCACGGTCTTCCACCCCTCAGTCAGGTTTCCAGAAAGTGGGACAGGCCAAAAGCTGCTTCCCACCCAAGTGGTTTCGCTTCCCCTTTGCGGCGCCTGGTCTGAGCCGCAGCTGCGTCTGCAGGCGCAGCTTCGCCAAGTCCAAGGGACAGGTGACCACCTCGGCTGTCATGTCCGCACGGGTTTTTTTTCAGCTTGGCCCTCCAATGGACCAGAGCATCACATGGTCAAAAATGTCCACCAAGGGCCCCCCTACCAAATTCACACTTGCAACCTCAGCCTTCACCTTGGGGCGTTGCCGACGCGGCGGTGCCCGCCGATGCAGAGGCCAGCAAGGTCAGCAAGGGTGGCAAGTTCTTCTGCGCGGAGGGGCCGGGAGCTGCGCGAACGGGCGGTTTCAGGCATGGGTGTTGGAGGTCTGGAGTTTATATACCACTTGTCAAGGGGTAGATATTGGCTTATAAGCATACATTCGTGGCATAGAAGCTTGGGTGCTGTAGATCCCCCAGCAAAAAGTTGAACTTTTTGCTGGACAAAAGGAAACAGCAAGGGAATCCAAAAAGTCAAAGTCTAAAGATCCAACCCAATAGCGGTAGAGAAGCCATGCTTGAACATGCCCTTTAATACATCAAACAGAACCAACCACACAGCCATGCTACCTTTCCGTAAATGCTTACTTGGTCCCTTCCAAAATTTAGGGACTCAACCGTAGCCCTGGCCCAAGAAATGACTGGTTCCCATTGTTCTCCACAAGAAAGGCAAACAAAGGGCAAACACCACAACCAACATAGTTTGGTGCACAACCTTTGCTACAGGACTGAGGATTGGACTTGGACGCCCGGGCGGTGAGAAAGGCAACAAAGCCCACGGCTGGCATGGTATTGACCGCTTGCCAATCGAAGGATGATCCTAAAGAACGCTGGGACGCAAACCGCCAAAGCGTGCGCTTGAACAGAAGAGGGTGTATCCATGTTGCAGGTGGAATGATTCGGGTCAAGTCATTTGGCAAACAGCACAAATAATGAACAAGCACCTGCAAAGCTGTTTCGCTAGTTTGGCGCTGAACCCGATTGGAAGAAAACAAAATCACAGGATGTCAAAGCGCCAGTCAGGTCGACCCCTACGACAGAAGCCACAAACCAAACTTTGGCACTCAATTACTTTTGGACTTTTGGGTGATTGTCTGCTCGTTTATCCTACCTTGCGTCAAAGGCCCAGCTGGAAATAAGCAAAGCTGAAATGTGTGTCTCAGTATAGTATAGGGGAGCCCCCAAACAAAAACAAACAAACAAACAAACAAACAAACAAACAAACAAACAAACAAACACAAACAAACAAAGATGTGATTTCCATTTTCTCAGTTGCCCATGGGACGAACGCAATGATCAAATTGCGGAGCCATTCAACATGGGAACCCGAAACCGAGGTTCACCAAATCCGGTCGATTCGCTAACGCGCCTTTCCTGACCTGGGCTGGGCCTCAGATCCCCTAAAAGTCTACCTGCTGGTGGGGTAAATGGAAACCAAGTGCAACTAATCCCCTAAAAAAGCTAAAAACCTCGGGCGATGGCTGGAAACTACCACTAACCCCAGAAGAAGCGGCGGCTGGGAGCCACCTCAAGCTACCCGCCCTCCCGACGCGTCGGAAAGCGCACCGCGTCCGGCAGAGCTGCCGCGGCGGCAACGGCCAGCCGGGCCTGCGCTTGCAGCTCGGGAGCGCCTTTGTGGGTCGCCTAAATTAGAACTTGCGTGTGGGCTACTTTACGACCAAGCCAAGCCACAAGTACTCAAGTATTGGCGACTATTTAGCCCAATTGGAGTGAGCTTGGTGAGTATTCAAGTCTTAGGAATTGTGTGTGGGATACTTTATGACCTCTAGGTCCGAGAGGTTAGAAGAAGTTGGTACCAACTTGTTTCTTTGTTGTCTATTTTAGAAGGGGAACCCTCCCCCCAAAAAGGGTAAAAGGACACTACTGGGGCACCTAGACCAAGTCAAGCCATGATTACACAAGTATTGGTCATTACTTAGCCGCTTTTAGCTTGAGGGGGTTGGACGGGTCCCCCACTATTCCAGCTTTCTACTAACGCCCCGCGCCAATTCCAGCTTTTTGGGGTGGAAACTCCTGCTTCCAAGGCTGAACCGCGGCAAAATCATACAAAAATCCTAAACCGAACATAGGGCAACCTCCAGTGAAAAACCTTCGGATGATATTGGTTGATCCCTAGGTGAGCCCATTATGATCTGCCAAGCTGAATGCAAAAACCCCAGATATCCTTCCTTTGTGCATGGGCGCAAAGTATGGAGGGGGCCCCATCTAACGCTGTTTCCCGCCCGTGGAGGGTCTGGATGATGCAATCATGTTGATTCCAAGCGCAAAAACCACCGGTTCTGCGAGTTTCAAGTTGACCAGTAAGTTGCATTTGTTCGACCATGGGCTGTTTAGCATGTGCTTGTGATAATTTGCTTACATGCGTGAATATACGGATTCTGTTGTATGGAGCGTTCGGCCCCCCACATCCCAGTGAGTTCATTTGCCTGCCAGGTAGGTCGTCAAAGGGAACCGCCACCCTTTACAAGTCAAGAGGGAAATGCTTGGTTACCTACAGGGGCCACTGGGATTGCCACTGGCGATGGGGTTGCCTTACAAATCAGAAATCAGAAGGCAGTCAATCCAACCCTTTCGTCAGGCCCAGGTCCCTTTCGTCCAAACCCGATGGGACCCACACGCTGAAGGGAAAAAACAAGTCAGCCAAATGGCTCTAAGCTGCTAGGTGATTCATTCATTCAAGTATACAGTATCATGGGAACCCGAAGTTAATCAACCCAGTTTACTATTAGGGGGTGTTCCTGGTCTAGTGGGGATCTATTGCAGGGGCCCCCAAAACACTTTGATTTTCACAGCCCCCGAACCCAAAAATGAACAGAACCAAAACACAAACCACTCGCCAAGAGCACTAAAAAAAAATTGGTGTGGCTCAAAATTAAACAGGAACGGTTACGCAGGTGTTGGTCCATGTTTCTGCTTACCGTTCCATTGTGGTACCGTTTTGTTGAACAGCCAAATGAGCTGCCAAGGGAAATAAATCCCGCCCAACAATCCTGCGAAGTGAACAGAACCAAAAACAAAAACCACTCGCCAGGAGCAGTAAAGAAATGAGCTGCCAAGGGAAATAAATCCTGCCCAACAATCCTGCGAAATGAACAGAACCAAAAACAAAAACCACTCGCCAGGAGCAGTGAAGAAATGAGCTGCCAAGGGAAATAAATCCCGCCCAACAATCCTGCGAAGTGAACAGAACCAAAAACAAAAACCACTCGCCAGGAGCAGTAAAGAAATGAGCTGCCAAGGGAAATAAATCCTGCCCAACAATCCTGCGAAATGAACAGAACCAAAAACAAAAACCACTCGCCAGGAGCAGTGAAGAAATGAGCTGCCAAGGGAAATAAATCCCGCCCAACAATCCTGCGAAGTGAACAGAACCAAAAACAAAAACCACTCGCCAGGAGCAGTAAAGAAATGAGCTGCCAAGGGAAATAAATCCTGCCCAACAATCCTGCGAAATGAACAGAACCAAAAACAAAAACCACTCGCCAGGAGCAGTGAAGAAATGAGCTGCCAAGGGAAATAAATCCCGCCCAACAATCCTGCGAAGTGAACAGAACCAAAAACAAAAACCACTCGCCAGGAGCAGTAAAGAAATGAGCTGCCAAGGGAAATAAATCCCGCCCAACAATCCTGCGAAATGAACAGAACCAAAAACAAAAACCACTCGCCAGGAGCAGTGAAGAAATGAGCTGCCAACGGAAATAGATCTCTCCCAACAAATCCTCAGATCGACGAGCCATACAATCCTGCTCATAGAAGGCGAAGTAGAGCGCGGAGAAGGGCCCGAAGGAGGCCAAAGTGGCATAGTAGCCCTGGCGCAAAATCCGCGTGGCCATGCGAGGCTTCTACGCGGATTCAATATAATATCAACCCTAACCGTGATAAGTTGATATGTTCAACCCCGCCACCAAAAACAAAACACATAAACACATCACCTAAAAAAGCTCAGCGAAGGGACCAACACGTGATAATTGTGTGCTTAAACCCACCAAAATCAGGTTTTTTGTTTGTTGTGGGAATCATGTAGAAAGGGATCCGAGATAATACGTAAAAGCTCGCATGCATTTAAGATCCTTGGAGGGGGTCGAAAAAGGATCCGACAGATAGGGACCATGCGCATAGGCGAGCGATGGCTGTTGGTGCAGTTCAATCACACATCACACTGTAAATTCCAGTGCGTGATGCCTGTTTTAGGGAGTGGAGGGTTGGGTGCGTCTGTGTGTGTGTGTGTGGGGTTGATGCCACTGCAACGCAAATACCAGCCTTTTGCACGCGTGCCCAAAAACACACGCTCGCCTATGTGCACGCTCGCCTCAAATTTGCATCATTCACTGGCGGGGACGAGAGGTCCAAAGAGATGCAATTGGAATCCCAGCTGTTGGAAGACCAGCTACCCTTCGTGGGGGTTGAACACCTTGTATTGGCTCACATCTGGGTACACAAAAACATATGTGCTTCTGTTACTGTGTCTACCCTAAATCCCGCTTCCCGAGTGGAACCAAACAGTCCAAACTTGCTGTTTACAACTAAAGTGCCAACCAAACCCTAAAAAGTGCCTATAACTCGTACCCAAAAGCTCAATAGTGTAGTTGTTTACTACTAGAATGGTCCAAACCCCAAAAGTGACTATAGTCCATGACCTCAGGGAGTGAGATAAGATAAGATATTCCAATCGTTCGGAATCGGAGGCCACAACTGCTTCAGCAATCGCACCTTGTAGAGTCCCAAGAGCCCCTCGGTTCGGGAGATCACGTTGATGGCGTTCAAGCTCCTGAGAGATCCAATTTTCCACTCCAAGCCTGCCATGTACTTTCTCGCCGGGACAAATGAGAAAAACAACATGCTCCAGGAGTGAAATCGATTCCCTTTAAAACTGAGTACAAATGAAAACAAATCAAGCAACTACAAGGAGCTGGCTGAATTTCTCAGATGGAACTCGCAACTGGCAGCGTGGTTGAGCATGGGGAGTCTCCTTCTGACCCAAAAAATTGCTTCCCCAGAAAAGAAAGGGGTCATGGAAATCTCCATGTCAAAAGGGTCAGAACTTGGCGCCCGGTCTCCAGATGGCCGCATGGCCGCATCGCTTTCCATTCTCAGGGACCCTTGACTTGTCTTCCAAAAATGCATCGGCCAAACCGGGGAGAGCCGGGGAGAAGCTTTTCGAAAGAGAGCGCTTATGGGCGAACCGAATGGGGCAACACTTCGAAGACGTTGCTTCTCGACATCTCTCGAGCCCTTTCCCCTTTTGGGAATCAGCCACCATTTGATTCCGTCTAAAGGGCCTTGAGGGGTTTGGTGCCATTCGTTGGCTACCCGCATTTCTTGAAAAGCCCCCAGCTGCCTGAGGTCAAGGAGTTCAAACAAGGACAGTTTAAGCCACGGAACCCAGGGAGTGAGTCTACCTCAATGTTGACCCCAAATGAACAAACCCCTGCTTATTCATTCTGGGGTGTGTGTCCGGCTATTGTAGGGATTTATCACTTTTGGAGGGGAACTCAACCTCTGCTTCTTTTTTTTTAACCGACAAAAAACAGGAGTTTATTAATCCGAAGTCAACATATTATACCTTTTGAGCCCAGGCCTGGCCCCTTTTTCCCTAACCCCCCCCCCCCCTGCGGCGGCCGTGTTTTTGTTTTTGTTCTCACAGCTGGGCGTTGTCACAGTAGGCCTCCAGGAAAGCGAACAGGACTTCGTCCACTCGGAGGCCCGTTTTACCTCAGCTTCAAACGCCGTGCCTGGCTCGAAAGGGAGGGGTCCCTTTAAACTTGCCGAGGGGAAGCAAGACAAACAAAAGCAAAAAAGAAAGCAGGCAGGCAGGCAGGCAGGACAGGCAGGCAGGCAGGCAGGACAGGCAGGCAAGCAGGCAAGCAAATAATTAAGGACAAAATCAACAAACAACAAACAAATGAAGAAACAAAGAAAGACCAACAGCTGGGGGCCGACGTTTGTGATTGCTTACCCAAAGTTGATGGCTCCAAGTTCATAGGCATCAAGAAGCTCACTTATGGTGTAGCTCCAGCCCAAAGAACCGGAACGAAGCCTCCATCCTGGAGCAACCGGGATGGAAGGCACATCTGCAAGAGTACCTTAACAAATGCGAGAGGTCCTCCAGTAGAGAGGAGAGAGGATAGAATAAGTTGCCAACTTTGTTCTGTGGTCTATTTTAGGGGAACCCAAAACCAACCAAAAAAAGGGGGAGAGAAGGGCACCGGGGATCTGGAATGTTTGTTTCAGACTTGAAGTGCTCACAGGCGAACCATCCGAGGCAGAGGAACGTCGGAAAGCACACATAGCACCCTCTCAAAACAAAAAAGCGCCACCCTGCTTTGTGTTGGTCTTCTGTTTTTTTGGAGGGGTGGTCACCGGTGACGGGGTGGGGCGCTTTCCTCCCCTTAACGGCACTGGTGCAGCTACGTGGCTGGACACCTCCACGTATCTGCAGTCCGGGCAGTTCTGCTCCTGGAACCTCGCCACCTCCTCCTCGGAGATCTGGCGCGGCAAATCCGCGTGGGTGCCGACCAAGACCTTGCACTTGAAGGCTCCCACGTTCTCCGCGCACAAGTCCACGAACCTAAAGGCTTCCATGGCCTTCAATCCTCTGAACACCCGTCTAGGTCCTCCAGTAGAGATGCCTCCACTTAGCTTTCTGCTCCCCTGCCAAAAGTGACTAACTTTTAGTGGTCTAATTCGGAAAACCCAACTAAGTTGGCAAAAAGTTAGTCCTAACATCCAAGCAACATGCACCAAAGTTCAATCCTCTGAACACCCGTCTAGGTCCTCCAGTAGAGAGGTTAGAATAAGCTGGTACTAGCTTCTGTTTTTTTTCTTCTTATTTTTTTCCTTTTGTCGGTAGTCTATTTTAGTAGGGGAACCCTCCCCAAAAAAAGGAAAAAACAGGCACTACTGGGGGACCTTGTAAAGTGGCTATCGGCTAAACAACCCCGAATGGCTGAATCCAGGAATGCTGCTGAGGTACGAATCAAAGATCCCTAGAAACCTTCATGCTTGGTTCCCAACAACGAGATGTCTCTTGGCTGGCCGATTGTTTTGCTCCTGGCAAAGTCAAGGATCAGCATTGTCCAGCAAGCCATAAGCGACCTCTCCACCCTCCCACGAACTAACACGGAACCTGACATTCGGGGGAAAACCATTTTCCTTTTCAAGGGACCCCCTGTCAGTTTCCCTGAACATTGGTGGGAGGGCAACTAGAACACACCCACCTAAACCAGTAGAACCCATCCATTTCATGGCCATATGCCAAGGGAGATAACTCCCTCCTCGCCTCGTCTCGCCTATTTCTAAGCAATGCAACGGGGGAAATGAAGGAACTCCTTCTGGAGCGCAAAAGGTCAAACAAAGGCTGGCGATGGACGCAGGAAGGATCCGTGACACACACACACACATAAACACAGGGTTCCCCCATATTTCCAGTCTAAGTATCAACCCAAAAGGAAACTCGAATCTTAAATTGGCAAAAAGGGAAAACATAGGGAACTCTGGAAAATCCAAGAGCACCAAACCCCTGGCAGCCTTTATTTAGGAAGTGCCTTTTGTTTGTTTGAAATATAGGGAACCTGTCCAATCCTCGGCCTGATAACAACAAAACAGTGTCTTTTCCAGCCACCCACCCAAACACTTACAGAACCAACAAACAGAAAACCAAAACCAACATGCCAACAACAAACGGAGCCCAAAACACCCAGCCAACCCAAACAAAACACAGGGAAACACTTCACGCCAAAACCAGTTTTACCGACCAACCCCCAAAACCAACCCCCCCAAAAACCATCCACAAAAACTAACCCACAAAAACTAACCAAACAACCAACCAACCAACCAACCGACCAACCAACTAACCAACCAACAAACCAACCCACCGACCAACCACCGACCGACCGACCGACCGATCGACCGACCGACCCAAACGGACCCAAACTTGTTGAATTTCGGGCACTGCTTGAGCGCTGTGAGGGTCTCAGGGTGCGACAGGCTGAACACGAACCTCAGTCGCCGGCTTGTCTTCTGAAAAATGATGTTGGTGTGGGGGGGGGGGGAGGGGGGCGGGAAGGGGTGGTGGGGGGAAGGGGTGAGGGTCCTGTTCTCTTGGTTCTCTTCAAGATCTGCTGAAAATCGGGCCCCTTCGTCCAAAGCAAGGGTAAGCGTTTGGGGGGGCCCTTAAAGGGACCGGACAAGGGAAAAAAACATGGACCAAGGGGCCATAAATACATCATGAATGCCAAAGTCGAGAACATTTCCAGGTATGGGCTTTAACGGAGAACAACTCCATTTTCTGACTGTGATAACCCCAACAGCCGTCAAAACAATCTTGGTTAACGTTGGAAGGGAACCAACAATTTAGACTTTAGCAGTTAAGTGGTTGGATTTCAACCACTGAACCACCATAAGCGAAAATTGCAAACAGGTTTCCCAACAAGAACCCTCAAAACAATGGGCCCAGAGAAAGCAACCTCTCGACAAAGGAAAACCAAAACTAGGTCCTCCAGTAGAGAGGTTGGAATAAGGGTACCCACTTTTACTGTAGTCTATTTTAGTAGGGGAACCTCCCCAAAAAAGAAACGGTAGAAACCAGTGAAAGCACCTAGCCCCGACAAAGGAAGACCACAAAGGCAAGGCACATGTACCCTGAGGCACCCTGGATGTAGCCTCGCGTGATGGACCGGAACCGCTCCTGGAGCAGTCAGGGAGGGTGGGGGCCCTGTGTTTGGTTGCTTTCACCCTTTAGGGACAAACCCGAAAAGGGTACCCTCAAAAACATACGTAGACACCAGCAGGAATGTTCAAGAAGTTTGCCTTCTTCAAATATTGATTCAGAGCCATAAGGGTATGAAATTCAACTGGGGACACCGAAATGGTGGACATGATGGTTGGGATTCATTGCTAAAATTCAGAGCCGCAACCAGAGCAAAAGGAAGGTTGCCCATGGTCCTTAAGGGCATCTAGTCACATATGCGGTCGGCTGTGGATCCCCTACGGCATGGCTGCCATCGGCCAGAAAAGTATGAGAACCTCTGGGCACTGAAAAGGGTCATCTCAAGCGTAAAACGTCCGAAACGGAACTCCGGGAGCAAACGGATTGGCAACAGAAAGAACCAAACGATTTGCTTTCCCACAAACTCGCTCAGTCTAGCGGCATTGGAAGCTGCCGAGTTCTAGTAAGCTTTGGGTGCCCAGGAAAATCTTGCTTTACTTTGCAGCTACCACTGAAAATGGAGACACGCTCAAGATTCACATGGAAGATGCAAAAGCAAGAGATGGCGTCAAGGCTAAACAATCCCGTGAGGCTTGACCATTTGATTTGGAACCATATCTCTATATGTTCTCACAGGCCGTGGCAAATGCCAAGACCCGGCAGGGTTTACCCAACCCAGTTGATTGGCTCGCAGGTGTCTCGGGCGTGGTTCCACAGTTCCCAAGAGCCAGGGGTTCAAACTCCAAGCTACCAATCCAAACCACCCATTCCATTGGCTTTTCCGCCCCTTGGACAACAAAAAACAACATAGTTCCAGTAGTGACCGATTCCCCTGGAAAAACAACTGGGGAAAATTGCAAAGATTCTTAAGCAAGGGAATTTCCGGGGAACTCTGAATTGCTCCTGACCCGCAGTGTCCCAGAACTGGACCTTCAGCTTGGAGCCATTACCTTGGCGAAAAACGCGATCGGAACGACTCGCTCAAACCCTGCGGGTCCAAATGGGAGTCGGGATAATGTGGAGGAAAATTTCATACCCATCCCGTTCTGGTGCTCAAAGGA